ACAATATGCTGAGTCTGCACCCACCTGCATCGTCGAATTGGGTATGGAAGGCACTTTAGGTATGGATTTTATCTTGAAGCATACATATGATATTGGTTTTGATCAAATGAGGCTCTCCACTAGTCAAGCCAAATCGTTAGTCGTAGATTCAGATAAATGTAATAACTGTGTGTATCCTAAATATGAAAAATAAACCCATTGATTTGGAAGGAGGATGTTTGCTGGGGCGGGCAGGCAGAAGAGATTTAAGAGGTAAAATCTGTGGTTAGAGATTAATTTGATACGCAAATAGTGCCGGAACATTTCAAAAACTTAAAAATCTTCTAACAATTTAGCCACGGTTGTGTTGGAACAATTGGAGCAATTAATTATTGAATTTCAGAACATGTTTATGGGGGCGAATGGGAAATTGGGTCAAACGAGTCTAACAGAACACACACTGGAGGGACTCGCCCGATTAAGTTGCCTCCTAGGAGAGAGAGTCCCTTGTTCAGTTGGTCGGGTGATTGAAAAGAAAATAGAGAAAATGTTGGAAAATAATATCATTAAGGATAGCGGTGGGCATTTATCGAGTCCAATTTGTTTGGTAAAAAAGAGGATGGCACATATAGGTTTGTGTTGATTTCGCAAAGCAAATGAGGTTACCAGTATAGATTCATATCCTTTGCCTTAAATTAGACAAACTTTTGAAAGTATTGTCGGGTTCAAATTGTTCAGTACATTGGATTTTGCTACTGGATAATGGAAGGTAAAGCTGACGGAGTCGATCACGCAAAAACGGAATTCACCACTCGTTGTGGGTTGTACGAGTTTAATGCGATGCCATTTGGTTTGACCAATGCGCCATACCATTCCAAAAAATGATGGAATTAGTGTTAAAAGGGTTACGATGGAAGCAATGTTTATGTTATATTGATAACATAATTATATTTGGGCCTAACTTTCAGATTGATTTGCAAAACTTGAAAATGGTCTTCCTTAGATTAAAGGATGCAAATCTGAAATTGAAACCCTCTAAAGGTGCCCTTTTTCAGAATCAGGTCACTGTTCTAAAACATAAGTTATTCGCCATGGGCATTGAATGTGATAACGATTGTAAACCGGCATTTAATACTTAATAAAAAACATTAATAACTCAGCCTTTACTCACCTTTCCCAATGAAACTGATGAATTTATATTGGATACATATGCTAGTGGACTAGCTCCGGGGCTGTGCTATGTCAAAAACAGGGGAGGTAAGGAAAAGATTATTATTTATGCTAGTCATACTCTCAGACACAAGTCAACGCGAATCGGATGGATGCTCGCCGCTTAGTCCGATTTCGGTACTTGGGTGAAAATAATGGCTTACAGGACACCACTGGTCCTAATTGGCTACTTCCTTACACTATTGTGGAATTCAGGAGATGCAAATAAATGACCCATTTATCATTTTAGGGTAAAACAACTTGAAAGACCGGCTAGAGGTCGAATTAAATCCCTAAATAATGAGTTTAGGATTATATGGTCGCAATGGATCATCTTGTTATAAAACACAACCTAATGTATCGCAAGAATTGTTCTAATCAGAATAGTATTCACCTACAACTTGTAGCTCCCCAGGAAATAAGAAATGAGTTATTTGCTTAATGTCATACTCAAAAGATAGCCGGACATTTTGGTAGGAATCGCACTCTAGACAGTATTAAGAGACGATTCTACTGGCCTGGGATAACAAAATCCATAAAACGCGGGTGTGTGCAAGGTGTAAACCTGGACCAGGGTTAGAGAATGCGCCTCTTGCACAGATTCACTATATTGGTTGTATACAATGTATAGCAATAGATATTTTCGGTCCTCTTCCTGTAACTGGGAATGACAAGTACTATATAATGACAGCGGGTAGAATCCTTCGCTATTCCCAATCATACTGGTCTTGTGGTTGCTGATAAGTTGGTTACTGAAGTAGTTTGTAGGTTTGGTTGCCCGAGTCAGATACATACTTATCAACTTATAAGTATAAGTTAGATTCATAGATTCATATCCTTTGCCTTAAATTAGTCAAACTTTTGAAAGTATTGATGAATATCTGGGTAGTGCTGCTATAAGACAAAAACAAAACTATAATAAAAATTTTAAATTTTGAGGTATGAACTTGGATTATATAATTTCAGTCATAATCATGGAAATACGGGTGGATACTAGGACGCGACAGCAATTTCAGGGGGAACTCAGGGAGCCCTTCTTAGAGGGTGGAATGGTGTGCCCGGTATCTGAGTGTAATAACTATAAATACCCAACACTGGCTATGTTTTGTCAACATTGGAAACTCACTCATCATCAGACTTACAGGGTTGAGAGATGTAGAATATTTATGGACTCCGTCTAAGGGAGAAAGACATAATCTTACACACCATGACGGCAAGGCCTCGCTGCAAAATAGGGAGGTACTCAACAAGAAGTTTATAAATCCGGGGGACTATCTACCTCCCGCAGGGAACCCGAGGGTAGAGGCGGCACTGACGCGTGGGATATTGGTCTCAAACCCTTCCCTGAAGTTAGGGTCCAACACTAATCCCAGGAACTAAGAATGGTACGGAATGGAAATGGGTATCTCCAGTTGCAAGAGGAAGCTGGGAAACCTGACTCGTCTTGTGAATGAGCTGGAACATTTGGAATGGCCAGTGATAAGCCATCAATTTACTATTTGTTGTTTATTTAATATATTTTGATTAATTACTATGAAGTCGGCACGTGCTGAATAATTTGTTCAGTGGTTTGTGTGGGCCCTGGGCTATTCTTACGCGTTGCTTTTGGTCAGGCGGGTTTGGTATGTTAGAAGCATTGCCCGATATTGCATCAATCTTGAATTACCGACTGTGGAAACCGTATAGAAACTTTGTGGGTTTGCTCCAGACGGGTAGTTCGGCTCTTTCTTTTGGATAACGTGGGATACAATCAACCAATGGGAAAGCGGGATCTAAACTAACTTAGAGTACATAGGTTATGCACGTGCATTCTCCAGTGCATAGCCTATAGGTAGGATATGTAAGGCCCGTCAGACTCAGTCATAATCCTGAAAATACGGGTGGATACTCAGGAGCTACATCAATTTCAGGGGCAACTCAGGGAGCCCTTTTTAGAGGGTGGAATGGTGTGCCCTGTCTCTGAGTGTAATAACCATAAATACCCAACACTGGCTAAGTTTCGTCAACATCTGAAACTCACTCATCATCAGACTTACAGGGTTGAGAGATGTAGCAAGTTTTGACTTTCGTTCGCGTGAGATACCGGACATCCTGAATACGACCCTGGATCTTCCGGTTTGCATAAGAGCCAGTTACCCCCGACGCTCGAGTGCAAATCGAGAACGACCCGTCCTGTTACAAGTGAAATAATTGGTGATCTGTGGCCATATTATTCCAGGGGAATATTAGAGTTACCTCCCTTGATACACAGAACGTCATTATTTATATAAAGAGTGGAATGTGGTTTGACATCTAATGAAGACAATTAGGCCGTAGCTCCGCTGGCCGGGAAAAAATTTCATAATAGCACACCGATAGCGTATGTCCTTCTTCATTAGTCCACCCGGAGCAGAATAGCAAGACGTTAAACCCCATTTCATTTCTGGTATTTGTATTTGGTTGACGCGAATTGATTGGAAACTGAGACAATGGCGGATTCTGAAATAATGGCCTTTAAAAATAGGCTCTAGGATCAATGTTAAATGTTTCCGCAATACGTTGGCAAGTGTTTTCGGAAATAGTGCACAAACCGTTGAAAGTCGAACCGCAAGCAAAAGGCTAAAATTAGATAGTCCGGTGGCTAAAGGGGGGGGGGGGGGTCGCCACCCCAGCTGTGAATTTATGAGACAAGTTTTTCTAGACCAGTTTTTTGCCTAAAATTTCGAACCTGGGTGGTGATCAGGCATTTGAGGGGGCGTTTTCAACAATCGGGGGAAAATATGATTATGTTGACATAAATAATGATCATGTTATATATTAATAAAACATAAATTTCTAGGACTCTCCATCTCTAAATAAGTGTTTATGATGCCCCTGGACAATTGTTTTGATTTGTGGCGAGGTGGGATGGGTGGTTGCAGGTGTGCGTGATTGCGGTGGGGGTCGGGAAATGAACTCACGTTGATTTAAATGATTTTCATACAACTTGATGAAATATCTCTATAAATATGTGTATAAGATTCCCATTCAGTGCTGGATTAACCATAAGGCAAATAAGGCACATGCCTTAGGACCAGCCAAAAATCCAGGCCACAAAATAATAGAGTAAAACGTTTTTGATAATTATCAGGTGGTGACAAAAATGCTTGCCTTTATTTTTATGTAAATAAATTGCATCCTTCTTCATCTACGCGTTTGTCCTTAAAAGCTTTCCATACTCTGGCAAAGGGTTGCAATGATGTTTCGTCCCTTTACACACGTGAGGTTTGTTTACATTTTTTGTGGGAAAGAATCTCATAAGTAATTTCATATTTTTTAAACATTTTCATTGATTTCGCAATTGACATTAGATGGTTAGGTTACTACATCACGGTCTTAAAAAAAGTCTTTAGTAACAGTCCCTGATATATTCGATTAATAAGGCAATGTATAACATTGCTTCCAGTAAACTGAACAGAACAGTATATATTTTTAAACGTAATAACTCTATTGACATTGATGGTATTACCAATATCTAAATGTTTCACCGCTTACTCTACTAAAAAAAATGTAGTCAGATTGATTATTTTATATGCAGTTAACGCAACGGAAGATGAGCGAAGAGGTACTTATCGGTTTGAATTAAAAGAGAAGACCAACAATGTTTCCATCAACCTTAAATATATATTCAGAAATAATCCCCTCGGTATCACAAACAAAAACGTTTTTGTAAGCGAGAAATTAATATTTATTAAAACCGGAAGTGATGTAGTTGGTTCAACATGCTTTGTGTACTTTTATAGCCATCTGGTATAAGAACTACTATTTGTATTCTTGCGTGTGCTAGGAAAATTATGTCTTTGCATATTCATCTTTACGAAAACGGGTTTCACGACAGTGGTATAAACAGCTGTGTTTATTCAATCCAATCGACGTTATATTATACCTGTGCTATTTATATCCCGGTACGGTCATATTTGAAATATTGATATCTACTGAAGATGACTAATGGTAAGAAATTTAATATTTGTTATATTTCTTTTGAATATTTAGTGTCATTTGGGGGTGGGGGTGTATCAAGGATAGGCAGCAGTCACACAGGGACTTTTGAGTGTTCACTATTCACAAAATAATGCAACAGTATTTGGTCTTTAAGTCAGGTTCTGGATGACATCACTGGTTTAACATCTTATAATACTTTTATTCTGCTTCTTACATATCAAGTACAAACATCTTAATGTTAAAGACCCCATAACTAACTTGTATTGAGGGAGTCATGTCCTAGCTTGGCACAAATATTCTAGACAAAGGATCCGATCTCATTACACATCTGGCTACTGTATCATATCAGATTTAACATTCAGTACAGTTTGCTTATCAGACAAAGGAAGTTAAATAGAACCGGCCAGCAGGACCACCAGGGATGTCGATAGCGGACAGGTTGATATTAAGATCGGTTTCACGTGTCAAGATGGCACGAAGCGTCTATAACATCTGTCGCTATGTAACAATAAGCAACTAACATATATTTGAATCTTTAAGGAGAGTGGATTGAATAAATATCGTATTCACTATTATATTCAATTCCATCATTTCCCAGATTGATTAATAAGGGTCACATAGAATTTATTTTAAAAATCGGATTAAAAATGTAGAACCCATTGTATTTGCGATAGTTTCGTACATTTCATAATAATAATTGTATTATGCAACTATTTAATCCACTATGTCCAGGTGTTACCGACATACGTTATTTCTTTCATCGCGGTATGAAAAATACGTATAAATACTGTAAAGAATTAAACATCTGTCCGTATTATCTGCCTATCGTCATGTTTTTAACGAAACTGATATCAATATACACAAATTAAGTATTAATTGGGATTTTCGTTTCTTTTTCACTGCTCACCGTAAAATTAAAGGCATAAACAAATTGATAAATATATATTTACGGCATACTTCTGAATAATAGCGAGATATAATAATTCACAAAGTTGTTAACTGATTCTTCAGAAACTAATATACCAAGTCAGTATGATACTGACTATGGATATGATCAAACCTATGATCCAGCATTCATTGCTGAACAGCAGCGTGCACTTGGTGAAGCTGCAGCCCGAGTTCAGGCTAGAACGACTCCAGGCGATGACAGGCATGCATCGCCACCTATTCCACTAAATGCTTATGGATATGATCAACAAAGCCTTGCCGGAGCTAGACCAGAGTATTCTGATACCATCAGTACTCAAGATCAGATGGTACGTTGGATGTTTGTATTTTATTATATTTACCAACACCGTTTTAAAATAGTTATAGGGCAATTTATAATATATTTAATTCCTGGTGAGGCCCGGATTCTCACAACAACCCTTGACTATAAAAGTCCCTTTTCATTGTGGTCTTCATTTAGATTATAACGAATATAGTCCAGAGGACTCCTAGTAATACAACAATCTTTGGTTGATAGACATATCTGCCCTTTATTACATGCACAGTACTGGCATCGGTAGCAACCAAGGCGGGCGTTTTATCTAATTTAGGGGCATGCTGCCTATCATATTACTGATTGAAATTGTGCCATTGGGTTACAGCTTTCAACCCATTAGTTGATATATTTCAGATGAACCAGCCTGTGTTGACCACAGTAACAACACAGAAACCAGAGTCTCACATTTGGTTATCTGTCTTCACGTGTGTGTGTTGTTGCATGCCACTGGGATTAGTAGCCACAATAATGTCTTTAAAGGTAAGTTCAGTTTTATTTGTTTGTTCTTTTTGGAGTAATGAAGAAATCTAATGCTGACTTTTAAACCTTATAAATGATCCCTGCTATTTCTAATCATCCACATTTAATATGGACTGTATTGTCGTCACCTCGATCGGTCTCCAAGTTCTTGTAAACACTTCACATGTCTATAATTATATACTGAGCGCCATGGAAAACGCATCACTTAGTTTTTCGTATAACAAAATGATCCTGTAAACATATCATATTTATTTTGCTTCTTATTGTGAACAATATTCAAATGGGAACACATCAATAACAACACATTTGTACACTTATGGATGTTAAATCTGTAATCAACGGTACAAAGTCAGAGTGGTCAAAACCAAAAGTACGACACAGATGTCAGTAGCGCGCGTGTCGTCCACGGGCTCTTACGCACGCTGTGCAGCCACGTCGCATGGAATTAACCAATGTTCGAAAGAAGGCCTGGGGCAAATTGTTCCATTCTTGGACAAGAACAGCTTCTAAAGCAGCAATGGTGTGCACCTGTGGTCTCCGATACAGACGGCGTCCAATCTCATCCCAGACATGTTCTATCGGTGCCATGTCCGGAGACATGGCTGGCCAGTCCAAGACATTGATGTTGTTAGCAGCCAGGTGGTCCATACTAAAACGGGCGGTATGCGAACGTGCATTATCCTGTTGGAAGTGCAAGACATATCACGGTAGGCTACAGCATTAACGCGACCCCTGCAAATGTGTAGGGCGGTCCGGTGATGAAATGTGAAGCCTCCCCACATCATTACACTTCCCCCACCCCATCGATTCGTTTCGAAGACGCAGCATTCTGCAAGACGTTCCCCAAGACGTCTCCACACACGTTAACGGCCATCAGCGTGATAAAGATGAAAGCGACTCTCATCACTGAAGAGCACACTTTGCCAGTCTACTCTTCTCCATGTCTGGTGTCCTTGAGCCCATATCAAACGCCGCTGAAGGTGATGATCCCTGAGGATAGCTCCAACATAAGGTCGTCGTGCACGGAGTCCTACTTCTCTTAGACGTCTTACGGTGTTGGCACTTACTGGTCCTTGTCTTCCGACGACTGCTGCACCTGTTCGAGTCGCCGGGCGGAATCTGTCACGCAGATGAGTGACCCGGATGTAGCGGTCTTGAGCCTGTTTTGTAACGCGTTGTGGACCAGGACGTTGACGGTCACGTGTTGATCCAGTAACTCGAACACGTTCCACCAACCTTTTTATAGTGGACTGATGACAATTGAAGTGTCTGGCAATAGAACGTGTAGACATGCCAGCCCTGGACATTCCCGTGGCTTCATTCCGTTGATTTTCAGTAAGTCTCGGCATCTCTAGCTCGATTCCTTCACACGTCCAACAACAAATTACGACAGATTGACGTTTCACAGTTCATGTACTGCATATTAAGTTGAAAACATGCTTTTAAAGGGCTCACACACAATGCTGCACGTGAATATTGGGTTTTTCACGTGCATCTCGTGCGATTTTTTTTTTTTTTTTTTTTTTTTGCACACGGGCCGATATGTTTTGCGTTTGGGAGCATTGTGTGAAACAATAGTTCATAGTATTGCATAATATTATACATACAAAACCACCTAGTAATAAAATATTTGGGATAAAAAGTGATGCGTTTTCCATGACGCTCAGTATATATAATAAGGTATAGCCTGTTCGTACCTTAACGTTGCAGTAAACATTTTATTGCTTAAATTTCTCATGACATAATCTACTTTAACATGTACTAAGATTAACTATTTAATATTAATAAATACAACAAAATCAAAATGTCAACGCTAGATAATGTCCGGGATTGGATTCAATCGGATATAAACTAGGCCTATTTAGGCCAGATTCGAAGAAAATTCTTAAGCACGTTCTTGTGCTTAAATTTTAAGTATACTTTGCATTTAAATAAACTTATCTTATTTTGTGTTCCCAGAAAATTCTTAAGAACGTTCTTGTACTTCGATTTTAAGTAGACTTCAGTGTAAGCACAAGCACGTAATTATAGTTCCAAGAAAAAACTTAAGCACAACTTCGTTCTTAAACATTGTCAATCTAAGCACACGTCCCAAGCAAGGTATACGGCTTGCTTACCAACCTTAAGTCTGTTTCTGCTTCAAACAAGATGGCTGACCGTAGAGTTATTCGATGTCATTTCCTACATCTTTTGGGTCCAAAGAGACAATTGAAGACAGAGAAAATCCTTTAGAAACATATTCTCGAGAAGAATGCTATAGAAAATTTCGCTTCTATCCTGAAACCATTTCATTTATTTGCCAATTAGTAAACAACACAAACACACGGGCAACTTGAAGATCAGGCGTTCTCACAATTATTCAGTTTGTTTGCATGTGCTTGCGTGGCACATTTTATAATTATGTGTATGGGGGACATGTCAAATGCATCTAAATCGACCATTTGCCGGGAAGCAGTCGACCAATTTATGACGTAATTCGCATACCAAAATTGTTTTTATGACGTTAGAGAGCATCGTAGTCTCAGTTTACCGGGGGGGGGGGGGCTACAAATAGAAGAACTAGATTCGTCCATCATGAGATCAGGGGATGCAATTACATGTACTAGCTAATCTTTGTGCTAATAACAACACAGGAAATAATCGCAAGGTGTTTGACTGTATTGTGTACTGGAAGGGGGTTTCACATAACACCTTGATGGTCTGAAAAAGGCGTCTTTATTCCAGAATTTAATTAATCGAACCACATGGCTAAAGTTACCTCAGTTCCGACTACAACTTCATTTACCTTAATCTTATTTAAGAAGGGTACGGTCAATGATTTACAATCAATACATGACCCACTGTGTATAGATTTGATTTTAGGCTTTATTATATGTCTTATAAAAATGCGCTTAGCGCGCGTTGTGTCCGAAGGTCTGTCATTGAGTCAAATGACGTGGTTTCCTCCATTCCCCGCTTGTGTGTGACAAGGAGTAGGGTCGCCAGTCCAACCTCGTGGTTTTTCTCCGGGTCCTCCGGTTTCTTCCCACTGATAAAGCCCCCCCTCTCTCTCTCTCTCTCTCTCTCTCTCTCTCTCTGAAACTAAAGTTTTAACGCTTAACGGTTTTTGAATTTGTACACTTCTGCATATGTAAGATGCGCTACGCCGATTTTGAGACTGTTTTATTTAATTGTGTTTACAGTTGTGTAAATGTTAAACTTGTTTGTAATTTCAATGGAATGGTATTACAATATTTAATATTACACACATGTTTATGATGTGTATCATTTGTTTGAGACTGTTTTGTTACATTTTCCACCTGGGAAATAAATTGTGAAATCACGTCCTTAATGTTCTAAAAAAATACCTATACGTATTTAGAGATTGAAATTTCAGGGCAAATGTTTTGATATTTAGTTTCCTCTACGTCTGGCTTAGTCGCTATTGTATGAAAGAAGATAGTGGTCAATAGCGCAATAGATATCGCGATATTAATGAGGTAATATGTCAACATAGAGTGATCCTTAAGATGATTTTACCAATGAAAAGACAATTGTTGCCGAGTTAATTGAATCATCACGCTATGTTCTCAACCTATTCCATTTCGCCGTAGTATATATCGAAATAGCGTTTGGCGATATTTTGAGAACATCTCAAATCGCGAAAGAGCTTTTTGTGAATTATCGAATATCACATTTTGAGAAAAAATAAATTTTATGAAATCCATACATAAAAAAATATTCTTGCCGGAAGCCAATCTTACGTAAACGCGATACGGCAATTATAATATAGAGGTCCGTCTTCATTAGCTCAGTTGGAGCAGAACAGTAGGACGTACAAAAAGAGAGAGAGACAGAGAAATGGGTTTTAACGTCCACTCGACACAAACTAGGTCATTTCGGGACTAACATTTGGTTTAATTTTATTTCAATAATTCGCTTGCGTGTAGGGGTCTTTAGCAGTGGGAAGAAACCGGAGGACCAGGAGAAAACCCACGAGGTTGGACAGGCGACCCTACTCCTTGTCACGTACAACCTGGGATTCGAAACCACGCCAGTTGACTTAATGACCGGCTTTATGATACAGCGCGCATGTGCTAACTATTCGGCCATCCAACCCCCCGACGTACAAAAAGAAACATACAAATAAGATTAACCTTCTTATCAGTCTACATTTAAATGAAATGTATTAGAATATGGCCGATATTCTATAACTTCAGCGTTTAAAACAAGCATTATGCAAGAGCTAAATCTGCCTATTGCGGACCTTTCTTTATGGTTTAAATGTGATATAAATTATTAATTAGACATTAACTTACTTACCAAGACCACAATTAATCAACTCTAGTTGTTCAACAGTTTTAACTATGCAATTTGCTGTTAATGATTTAACCATAAAAATGGATAACCGAGACTATTATCGTATATAGCATTGACAATTAGTGCTACACTGTTCTTGTAACGATGATAATTCGGCTCAGAGTGAAGTAATTTGACTGAAATTTTCAATATATTTCCTTTTCATTATTTATTTTTTAAACTATTGTAATTTTATATAATGTCCTTTAAGGAAACCACCATATCTATAGGCTCAGCAATAAACTGCAACTCATTATTTTAGCGAAATTTTCTGTAGAAGCCTGTCTTCAATCTTAAGGCAGATCATTCAGGGCCATTCAACATTCTGAAAATGGTGATTGCTGACGACATATTTTCTAAGACAAAATTCTATTTCGTTTCAGGCTAATTCTGCCGCAGAAAATGGTTCATATGATGTAGCCAGAAGCTACGCCCAAATGGCTAAAGGCCTCGTCATTGCAGGAGTTATAGTAGGCACGATCATCGCAGTGATTGCTGCAGTGATATTCTTCAACGCAGATTCTTATGTAGAATTGTAATCGTTAACCCCCATGTCCAACAAACAATACGAAATCATTCAATTATGTTTGTTCCTTTCAATATCAAAAAAAAAGTTATTTTCATTAAAAATAAATATTATTTCTCCTTTTTTAAAAACATTTACGAATAAATAGTGTTCGGTCCCTGTTATTAAAGCTTTAAATTAGCATCTTTTCTCATTAAAATATGTATAATCTTTCCATTACCTGTTAATAGTTTCATTAAAATACACACACATATGCCCGCCAGCAGCATTTTGAGGGTGATAGGCAATAACGGCGCATAAAATTAATGTGAGATTCTGAATTTCGACACGGGGTCACTTAGCGCAAGAGTGGCCAAACTATAACACAATAAGCACTGTTTCTATCTTCGTTCGCATTTTTTAATTTAATATTCTGAAATTATATGTCATATCACAAGCAGTAATTTATTATAACATACTGAAACAACTTTGTTGTAATCAGAAAATTCCACATTAAAAATTGTATTTAACATTTGAATTACATTGCATTCATGTCACTATATATATTATATATACAAGGGATTATATATATTACAATCCCTTGTTATACTCTTCTACACCATGTTTAATTCATCTAAAATAGGTCAGTGTTTACTACATCCTGGTCTAACGAAAAGTCTTTAGTCACTATATTCTGGCCTAAAGAAAAAGTCTTTGTCCAATAACCTAAAAACTAGTCCCCTATATATTTGATCAATAAAATATAACTATTGCTAACCATGAGAGGGGGGGGGGGGAGAGATTATGGGGGTAGGATGTGTTAAAACTCTCAGGGTGACCCTTTCTTGTACATGGGTGGTTAGAGAGGAAATCAGCGCGGAGTGGAGGGAGCTAGCTGTAAATCACTCGGGTGGGTAAAAGCGCGACAGAGCCCTGGTGGGGATTGGACAATATCAGTACAGTTGGATCCATTCTAGTAATGCATTTATTAGTGTATCTCTGAATATGATAGGGGATGCAGTGCTGCCCTCTCCTCCCCCGCACTCGTGTCAAAATCTAGTGTAAGAAAACTAAAATCTGTGGTATATTTAAGTTCCACAAAGCTCAATCAAAGACAGATAATGCGGGTTTTTGTTTCAGATTATGAAGCAGGCTTACTATCAACCACTATGTACTATTATGGACATTGGATGCCCATTTTCTACGAATTAGCCCAGATCTTTGATTCGATTGACTGAGTTAATTTGCAGGTCACCTTTTTAACCCTAAATCGTATGTCAAAGCCAGACAGATCCTCAGATGCACGAAGGCGACACTCCTACCTAAATGCAAAGCTCTATCTATAAATTTGCTTCCAGTAAACTGAACAGAACAGTATATTTGTAAACATAATAACTCTATTGACACTTATAGTATTACCGATATCTAATTTTTTCACCGCTTACTCTACCCCTAAATGTACCCAGATTGATTATTATATATGCAGTTAGGGCAAGGCAAGATGACCGAAGGGATACTTATCGGCTTGCATTAATAAAAACTAGACTAGCAGCCTGATTCCCGCAGTTTATATACCAAAGTGATTGAGTTAATTTGCAGGTCCCCTTGTTAACCCTAAATCGCACGTCCAAGCCCGACAGATCCATAAATGCACGAAGTCAATACCTAAATGCAAAATTCGATCTATGTGTAGCATGCAATAAGTTGAAGAGAACAGTATGACACGTAATAACTCTATTGACACTTAAAATATTACCAATATTTGATTTTTTCACCGCTTACTCTACTAAAAAATGTACTCGCATTTTAAAAAAAAAACTAGACTAGCAGCCTGCTTCCAGCAGTACATACCAAATAATCTGTAAACATTGTAGATATGCAGTGAATTTCATTCCGATTTAATTACATTAATTTCACACTTCCATAATCAAATGAACAGGATAAAAAGGATGAAGCCCATAGAGAGGCACCTATCATGGTATCGAACCTATAATCTTTGCTCACACCCCTTTAACCATTGATATGTCGTTTAACAGTTTAAGACGAGCAGACGATACCGGGAACAACATATTCGTTTTAAAAGATAGTTTTGTTCAACAATCAACATTGTAATTTTCGTATTAGTTAAATTGCAAAACTAATAATGGTGCACGGTTATTTTTGTTCAACAATCAACATTTTAAATCTTCGTATTAGTTAAAGGACAATATTGGTGCCAGTCATTATCACATATGTGTTAGAGCTGGTTAAACACATTCCAAGTATATTTTTAACACAGAGATCATTGCTACGATAGCTGAGTAATACAGGTTTCCCGTATCGGAAGTGACGAACGCAAAAGGAAAACACGAGTCGCCGCTCTATATAACTGACTGAAGCGACGAGTGATAACAGATACACGGCCGAATTTCTACTCACTAATAATTCCTTCGATGACGAAAAGTTGTTATATGGGACTGTAAGAGGATATCTGACAATTCAATAAAGTAATTGAATGTCATTAGATAAGTGAACACGAGAAAAGTAGAAATAGTCCGTATATTCCCTTGTTTATATTCATTCTATACCTTATAAAAACATGGTAATGCACGGACTTTTTCTGTTTTTCTTTCGTGTTCTCTTATCTAGTGGCAGTCAATTCTTTTTATGAAGTGTCAGATATCCTCTCACAGTCTCACACAACAACTGTTGGTCTTTAAAGGAATTATTAGTGAACAGAAATTCGGCCGTGTATCTGTTATCACTCGTCGCTTCAGTCAGTTATATAGAGCGGTGACTCGTGTTTTCCTTTGGCGTTCGTCACTTCCGATACGGTAAACCTGTATTACTCGGCTATCGTAGCAATGATCTATGGGCTAAAAGTATATTTGGAATGTGTTTAACCAGCTCTAACACATATGTGATAATGACTGGCACCAATATTGTCCTTTAAATTGTAAAACTAATAATGGTGCAGAGGAATCGAGTTTAATATTACTCACACTGATTTATAAGAAACTTAGAAACGAGTTTGTCAAAGCGGATACTGTAACCAAACTATTCACACTGTGTAATCGACATGTATGTAATCTTCAAGTAAAATTTCGAAATTTAATTACATGTATAATAATAATAAAAACTTTATTGCATGAGGCAACTTATTTAGTTTGCAACAACTTATCTTACATAAGTCCCTCCTTAACTACAAAATATACATGTAATATCTGGGATGGATACAAATATTTATAAACGAAATCGGGTTGGTGACAACGAGAACTGGGCTAATTACGTACCTTGCGTTATCGCACAACTTTCTTAGACTAACTCACTGACAGTTCTGCCACCATCCATGTCTGGAAATGGGTTATTGTTGTCGAACCATCGGGCGTAAATGGGTGTAAGAATGAAACACTTACCCAAATATGGAAATGGCCCGCCCTTATAGTTGACGTACCTAAATGTTTTATATAAATTAAATTTGCTTCAGACATCATTCGAGGTTAGGGATAGAGACATCATGCGAGGTTCTTAGAAGAAGGCATACCCACCGCCTCCTCGACTTAGAGGGTGGGATAGAGACAACATGCAGTGTTCCTAGAGAGAAATCCCTTTAGCCGCCTAAGCTTAGAGACCGGGGAAGATCATCATGTAGACTTGGAAAGAAGAGCGTAGTTTTCCCCACAGAACACAGACTATGGGATAGGGAACTTATCTAGATTATAGTTAATGTCATAGGTGTGTGTGTGTAGTTTCCTACATTTAACCTTTGTAGTATGGATGTTATAAAGATATATAACCAGGTATAACAACACAGTGTTCCAGAGTTAATCGATCTTGAGTAAACAACGTGGGAGGCCCAACTGAATACAGTGACACACGACAGTGTCTCATCGTTCTTTTTGACGGTTGCGACCAGGATAGTGTCACACAATAACAACATCATTTTTAGCTTTAATGAGACACATATGGACACATGCCCTTAGTGGTACCTTAGGAACTTACATCAATGTTGGCAACAAAAATTTTTCTAGACTATTTTCAGATTGCTTCTTTTTCTTTATGACACACGCATTCACTAAATCATCCCTCTAAATTATAACTAGATGATGGTCAGTATTCTATTATTTTAAATGTTTTATATGTATCTTAAGGCTCTCTCGAACTCAGATATCAATAGTTTGCTCAACATGCACGTAAATAGACAATAGTATTAAGCCAAAGAATACCAGAAAACCACGATAATAGATTGTAAATAATATTATGGTAACATAAGCAAAATATGTTTTAGAATTATGTTACATAATTTGTCTGTTGGGTAGAAACTGTCCAAAATTCTAAATCAGTTTTTGAAAAACAAGAGATAAATCTAAGATAGATCCTATATAATATATCTATCTCTTATGGAAGAGGGTTTGACCCTTCTTCGACGCCATTCATAAGTTATTACGGTCCTAAGATACAGTAATTGTTATTTCTATGGTTACGGGTGAGAGGAACATCACATGCGTTCTGTCGAGGCATCGGGTTCAAAATGCGATCTAGAATAAAAGTAGAAAATCAAAAGAAGAATGTAAAAAGTAGAAAATCACAATGAAGAGGGAAAATTTTGAACTCTCAAACATTTTCTCTGCTGGTGCCGATTGTATTCAGATGTACGAAAAACACACCAAATCTTTTAACATTACACCAGCAATTAATTAAATCACTCCGATTTGGCACAGATAAACAGGCTACAACCAATAACCTCTTTAAAATAGTACATGAATTTTTTGATGTCACCAGACGTTTCAATATTTGATTTTAATTTCTTATCAATTTTAAATCATAAAATAGCAGATCTTCTTTCATTTGTTAGAAATGGTGTGTACATAACCTGGTTACTTTAAATGTTTTCTTCCCCCTTATTTTTTATAATATGTAAATAACAGATCTGTTTATAAATATTTTATTTTCCTTGTATGAGGAGAGAGGTGAGATAGGCTATTATGCCTGTTCCCCAATCCGTTGTCATTCAATTTGAAATAAAATATTGTTTACAAAAACAGGGAAAATTATTATCTAAAAGCATATTTTTATGGTAGAAATCTATAACTTTATGCATTCTGTCTGCAAAAACATCTGCTTTAGAAAACTGTGACTAGAAAATTTAAGTCGAAAGTCAAAAGTTGACAATAGAAAGTTGATCGTAAAAAGTATCAAGTATGTCCATGAAAGTAGAATTATGACGATTAAATGTTGAAAAGCTTGATGTTTTTGCAGATTACATGCATAAAGCTATGGTTTTCCACCATTAAAATACCCTTTTAGGTACGAATTTTCCCTTTTACTTTTGATTTTCTACGTATTACTCAAGATCGCATTTTGACCCAGATACCTCGCCATAATGCATATTCACCTTTCTTCTGCGATGTAACATAAATATAAAAACAGGTATTCACGACATTTGTAAAAACGGATAAAAGGCTTTGTGCATTCCAACCAATCGACGTTTTATTAACAGACCTATATTTTACCCGTGCTTTTTGTATACGGGTAGGGACATAATAATATTTGATGTTTTGATATCTACTGAAGATGGCTAATGGTAAGCAATTTAATTTTCTGGCATTTCTTTTGAGTATCCCTGCAGATTGTTATACACGAGACAGTGGGTATGAGTTCAGGCTCGAATATTCATAAGAGTGACAAAAACTAGAAAAGCAAAAAGGCAGTCGTATATGACGTTTACAATATTTTGGACGTTACATATTAAACGATAGTTTATTCCGGTTCCACTGAACTAAAGTCATTCTTGTATTGGATTATAAATCGTGATTCGGCTTGTTTTCTACAGTTTCACCTAGGCAATCTTTATTTGTCTAATTTATATTCATTTCATATTTGACCTCGCCAATCATGTAATAACAGTAAAGCTATAAACTTTCGATTGTTATATACGTCTGTGCATATATACATATATTCGTTTGTATTCGAAAACTGCAAACTAAGCTATTTGTATGATCAAACTTTGTATTATGTACATGACTACAACAAAAACTGATTAGTTATAAGAACTCCTGGGATGTAAAGCGGCATCCGATGTTTTAACGTACTCTTCTTCGGACAAGACATTTGTCACAATTTGAGACCAGGCGTTGTGTGAAGACTAAACTTACCTCTTTTGAAAATGAGTTTAAATTGGGAAAATCAGGCTTAGATGGAATCCACAAACTTCAGTATCGTTTTACACATGATTTGCAAAAATTATTTTACAAGATAATTATTGAATTCTGGTACTGTATGAGACGTTCATGTGGACGTATATTGTCGTCGCCCCTGTCCGTCCGTCCACAATTGTTTGATGTCAGTCTACAGGTCAAAATTTTTATTCGATTTCAACGAAACTTGAAATATAGGTTTATCGCCCCAAGATCTCGGTCCCTATCGATATTGGCATGTATCGGACCGTTATTTCGTGGATTATGGTTCCTGATTGTACGAAAAATCACGTTTTTAGCTTGTGGGCACTGTAGAGGTCAGAATTTTTATCCGATTTTATTGAAACTTGAAAAGTAAGTTTATAACCCGATGGTCGCCATTCCGTTCGATATTCGCGCATATAGGACTGTAACTTCCTGAATTATGGCGCCTCATTGTACGAAAAATCACGTTTTTTAGCTTGTGGACCCTATAGAGGTCGGACCAAAATTGACGGACAAAATGGCCGCCCCTCGTACGCAAATAGTGTAAATATCTGGTATATCAAGGTTGTGGACCATCTAGAGGTCATATTTTTTATCCGATTTTGATGAAACTTGAAATACATGTTTATAACCGACAGATCTTGGTTCCTTTCGACATTTGCGCATATCGGTTCGTATCTTCCTGAATTATGGCCCTTCATTGTACAAAATTTAGAGGTCACAATTTTTATCCCATTTAAAAAAAAACTTGTGAATGTATCACTGTTACACACTAATATCATGGTTCCTTTTGATAATCGCGCATATCCGAACGTAACTTCACAATTTCTTTCCAATTTTAAAAGCAGTTTAAATATATCACCATTCCACCATACTGAAGGTTGAATTCGAATTTCGGGAAAATTTAAAACTGCCGAACAAAATGGCCGCTCTTTGTACGCAAATATGTAATACGAAGGTTGTGGACCCTCTAGAGGTCACAATTTTTATCCGATTTTGTTGAAACTTGATATGTATGTTCATAACCCAAAGATCTCGATTCCGTTCGATATTAATTATCGGACCATATCTTCATGGATTATGGCCCCTAATTATACAAAAAAATCATTTTTTTTTTTTAGCTCGTTCTCTGTCCATCTGTTTCAAAATGTGGGCGTATCTTGCATGGAAAAAGCTTGTTAACACTTGGTATTTGATGTAGAACATCAATTAATTGTCAAATGTTCTAAGTTTAAAATTTATAAAATATTTTATTAGTAAACCTTGACATGTCTAATTTTTGACGTATTGTGTGATTTTGAGTTCTAATTTTTATATATGTGTGATTTTGAGTTTTAATCCTAAACTACTATGGCGTTACAATGCTGAAATTAAAAGAATGTTCAGTGCTCTTAATATCGACGGAGTAATGGCGAGAAAAATATTACCCAAAGTCATTCATTGATTCTTCAGAAACCAATCTACCCAGTCAGTATGATACTGATTATGGATATGATAAAACCTATGATCCAGAATTCATCGCTGGACAACAAATTGCATTGAATGAAGCTGCTGCCCGAGTTCTGACTAGAACTAACCCAATGCAATGGCGACAAGAAGGTGACAGGTCTACATATCCATCTATTCAACCAGATGTCTATGGGTATGACCAACCAACCCCAAACGGAGCTAGACAACAGTATCATCCCTTTACCATTAATAGTGTGGATGTGGTGGTAAGTTGGATGTTGTTGGGTTGTTTGTTTGTTTTTTGGTTTGTTTTTTTTTTGGGGGGGGGGGGCAGGAACTAGATCCCAAGCGCTGCTTATCTTGCTCTTCGAAAATTCCTACGGACCCGCCGATGTACGATCGATATCAATCTGGGAATGATTGTTCGATTTTTCATACGACGTCAACATTCCAAGATGCCTGGGATCACGTCACATTCGGTTCCTGGTCCATATTTCATAATAATTATGCGACATAATATATTTCAATCATAACGTAACTGCCCTGGACAAAATAACTTCCACGGTAGCCAGCAATCAAGGCTGATGTGTTATATCATATTATTGGGTGATATCGCGCCATGGGTTACACCATTGAACCGTTTATATTTGATGTATTACAGATGAACCAGCCTGTGTTGACCAGAGTAATACGAACACCGAAACCCACCTGTTATACTGGGTTATCTGTCTTCACATGTTTGTTTTGCTGTATGCCATTGGGATTGATAGCAATAATTATGTCTTTAAAGGTGAGTTCAATTTTATTTTCTGTACTGTTCTTGGATTCAAACATAAAAATTCTGCTTGTTTATTTTGGAGTGCAATACTTAGGAGAATTTTTTCTGTGGAAACTGTAAAGTAAAGGACTACCAGACCTGTCAGTTACAAATAAGGCAACATTTACTACAGTCGCCTATGTCTTAATGTAATGGATTTTGGAAATGATTATCTGATGTCGGGGCATTCTCTAAAAAAATTGTATTCCATTTCAGGCTACGTCTGCCGCAGAGGAGGGTTCCTTTGAAGTAGCCAGACATTACGGCGAATCAGCTAAAAACTTGAATATTGCAGGAATTATGATAGGGATCATCATGGTAGTGATTGCTGGAGTGTTGTATCACTCATTCTACAATACAGATCATTATCATTATTAAGACACCAGATCCTAATTATCAGAATTGTAATCTAATAACTAAATGATCAACTTAATTAAGCAAGACGAAAAATTCTAATAATAATATTTGTTCCTGTCATTATCAGATAAATAATTCTTTTCTTTATATAATAATTAATTATTTTCATTATAACAAAATATTCCGTTCATTATTGTATCAATAACTCTTTTTCGGATAAATAATTCTCTTCTTTATCAGATGATAATTAATTTCATAAATCATTCTTTTCATTATCTCATAGAGCATACAAAGGGTGACTTTCGGGTTGAGGGGCAATAGCGGGACGTAAAATTAATTGGCGAATTTCCGCACGGTTTCTCTTCGTGTAGAGGCGATCGAACTTTGGTTCAAGGTTAAGAATGTTTCTATCTCTGGGACATCTTATATTTCGCAAGTTTCGGTAGTGATCTTTATTTGTGACTGCAACACAATAGTAGCATGACTTTCATAAAATTAATTAGAGATAAAGGAATTGATATGAAATGGGATCCTACTGTTTTGCATACGCCATACAGAGAGATATTTTGCCCGGACAGCGGCATCATGGCCGACTCTTATCGAATTCAAACTGCAAATGGATCATTTACATACATCCAAATGAGTACCTAGTTCATCGCCCCTATAACTGTACGTGGCCCCTTAACAAGTCTGTCATACACCACAGACGAGGAGATACCACACCGGCAAATACCGATGAACGTTCTGGGCCAACACCAGGATAGAAGACAGGACCTCCAGGTTAGCGAGTCGACATCTTATTCACTGAACCTATATTACACATGTAGGCCTACATTAAATATTTACAAACGATAAAAATACGCCCAAACAGGACTATTGTAGCCGAACGACTAAACCCTCGCATGTATTGAATATTGTAGCTCAAAATATCTCGCCAATTCATCTGCACCATCTGAAATGACAATGCGAGGGTATTGACGCATTCCGTACTTTTAAGTGACTCGCAAGCTATTAAATTAGACACAAAAAACTGTTTGTTGTGGACAGAAAATTCAGCATTATATCTTTTATTTAACATTTGAATCACATTGCATTCATGTCACAAAATATAAAATAGGTCAGTTATTTTTATACTTAGTTCGTTTACTCTATTACGTTCTCGTTCAGATGGGGCAGGCAACTCGGCATATATCTGAAGGCCACTTTGCTTGGATCAAAGAAACTGAGATTTAACACAACATATGACAGACCAAATAAATGTACTACATTTTAGTTTTATTGATATAATAATAACCAGATGTACACGACTGTGTTAGGAAATTTTCAGCAAGCAGAGAGAGAGAGGGGGGGGGGGGGTGCCGTCCACCGGACACAAACTAGGTCATTTCGGGACTAAAATATGGTTCAGTTTTATTGCAATAATTCGCTTGCGCATAAGGGTCTTTAGCAGTGGACGAGGTTGGACAGGCGACCCTACTTCTTGTCACGCACAACTGGGAAATCAAAACTACGTCAGTTGACTTAATGAAAGAACTTATGATACAACACGCACGCGCTAACCATTCTGCCATCTCACACCCCCGCCAGCAAAGAATTGGAAAAACAACCCGCGACCATCGAATGCCAAAATATAGAAAATATTTTTTTTTTATGTAGCACGGTTTCTATTCAATGAAGAAAACACCAAGTCATAGGTTCAGGATTTTATTGTGGATTAATTTTTACAAATCGGTATAAAGACATAAAGAAATGTATAAATAATTAGAATAATGGTAATTGTATACATTATATATTAAATGAAGCGGAACACATTTAGAAAAGGAATTGATAATGGTGACCTTATTTACAGATATTTATTATTTCTTAAATAATATCAATACATACAAATACATACCCTATAAAATAAGAGTTTATAATAAGTCAGTCAAAATATAAAACTTACCAAGTGTAATACAACATGTTGTTCTTTGTAAAAAGGTTAGTTTACATGTGAGGTTGGATAGAGAAGTTGAATTGTTTAGTTTAGTGAGTTAAAAGTGAATACAGATTAGACTTGCTATTAAAAAGAGAATTCTGACCAGCTTCAAGATATTACGTTAAAGAGACAATACCACACATTTTAAATGGGAAATACCTTATATATAATAAATGAAAAATATACAGTAATACACACGTAACTATAACTACCATAAATTGTGCCAGACATCCATGAATCTTACACAATATGGTGCACTAATAGTGTATTCCACCATATGATTTTCAGAAACCATGTCTGAGTATTGTAGGATTGATAGTTAGCTGTTAACATTTCGCATAAAACTATCGCGATTTAGTGGTATAAGCGTTGTGCATAGTACAGATTGCATGCTTCCAAATCACTAAATAGTTTTTTGTTCTAATAATAGTGACCACTTCTGAATTTAATTGGGGCATCCGTAGTCTTTTAAAGGGGTATAAGCACCCAAGTCCTATCATATTTAAGGGCCAATATAGATTATCGTATAAATTTGCTTCATTTCCATAATGGCTGCATGGATTTCTCTGAAATTTGGTACGGTTCATCCTAAGATGATAAAGATAAGAGTTTGTCTGATTCTGACACAAAGATACGGTCATTATTATTTGTATCGTTACCTGTGCAATGAACATTATGCCTAGTCAGTTTCGTATTACCTCTCTTGGATTTAACATAAAAGCAGTCAGAAATTATTGAGATTGCCAACAAATATGGTCGAAAGGCAAGAAATTTGTGTGGTATCGTCATCTGTATGACATTGTATTTCACACCATGCCAAGTTCTTCAGATCATATTAAAACTCTTACTCATCACAAAAATGACGATATGGTTCTTTTAATGATAGAGTTCGGTTTCATTTCGTCTTTTGTAACTGTGTTGTGTACTTTTAATCGGAATGTAAATTATTAAGTTCCATTTTAGCTAACGACAATGGTGAATTATTTGGAGTTGTTGGAATTGAACTAGAAAAACTGTTTCGGAAAACATCTGAGTCCACCTTGGACCGTGGTTAGTTGAGAAAGTTCATCCGGATTTTCCGGTGTTGCCCCATTGGCAGTGGTGCTGGACAGAGGTACCTGGCAAGGGCCAACGTATAGTCGTGCACGTAAAAGATTCACTGGAAGTGGGAATTCGATATAACAGGAGGCTATGTAGCGCCGCTGTCCGGGGAAAAGTTTCCATATAGCCATTCCATTTTTGATAGAGCTAAACATTCATAAGCATAACGTTTACTTTAACAATGGCACAGTATTTAACGTCTTACCTTTGTCTCGTCGGAACCTTCGTCAGCAGTCTTAAAAGAGATTAACTAATTAGATAAAATGGTCGTGATGTAATATGCATTGTAGGGTGCGGGTGACCATATTTACGAAAATGTGTATTATTATATGTCGGGTATATCACACCATAATTGCACTATAAGTGTTCCTCATAGTGGAAAACCTGGTCGTGGGACGAGATTTAAAATGTTTATTTAACAAACATTAAAGTGCGCCAAAACAGCATTAGGTGTTACAAAGGGGAAACAGTATAAACAAAACTATATAAATTTAAAGGTAATTTCCATGGTTGTTTGTTGTTGAAATTTTATCTGAGAGATAATAATGGCTTCTTTTGGTGATTCTAATCTTGTAGTTTTCTAAGAATCCGCTTAAGAAGATCCGCATCGTCCGTTAAAGTGGGCGTCTTTTTGGCTTTTTCTGAAAGTAAACAAATTATTCGTGGATAATGGGCCTGGTAATGTTGCGAATAATCGAGAAACAATATTTATTTTCACGGGATAATTATTGTGGGTAAAACGCTTTCCTCTCCTCACTTCCAATTGTTTTTTTTTTATATATATATATATTCTATCTAATCAAGCTAAACTCTTAAATATAACATTATATCATTATCTTAAATTGCATTCAAATTGCCATCCGAAAATATCCTTTGTCTCCTCAATTAGTCCGTCTATCCGTCCACCATTTTTACCCTAAATGGCCTCTTAAGTAGAGTGTACAATATCAACTTTTCGGAAACATGTTGACCAACATTAATTCAACATACCTTGTATGCACTGGTCAACGTTTTAGTAGCATGTTTATCAAAGTATTTTTTTGTATCCGTTCAATGTCAGTTTCTGCCATATTGTCCTGACTTCAGGTAGGTCAGCTGGCTACAGTTCGTCAACAGTCAACTTCTCATCAAGACGACAACAAGAGATGTATGTGCATTCTTTCGGCAAAATATTGGTCAAGCAATATGTCTTGCTTGAGACGTATTCAACATTATCCAGCACGTGCATTTCAATGAGATCGTTACGCGAGATCAGATTTCCGACATCTTGTATAAACAATATGCGATTGGCACGTTGCCCGTATATTATTTGAAATAAATATGTCAAAGAATGACGTTACATCTGTATTTGAAGAGATGACATTCATTTTATAAGAAAACATACCATTCTCCAATTCAGCCTTAATGTGGGCAGCAGCTGGGGCGAATCGTTCACCATCTCTTTTCAACCTGAACAGAGTTTTCATAACATTGGTCAATATGTCCATGGCGTGATCTGGACTAAATGTATCTTCTAAAAAAAATATAGTATCGTTCGTTGTCGGAATGTTCCAATTTGTTAAACTTAATAAAAGAAATTCATAAAGGGACTACCAAACATGACATAAAACATTATATGAAGACACTATTCTAAATCATAACTATGTGTACATAAGTTTAAATCGGTCAACGCAAGACAGAGCTGCATTTGGCTAAATGGCTACATCTTCGATTGTAAAGTACATTTACTTACGCATAGCCCAAGATCCACTTCTTAATTATTCTAATGCATCTGTTATTATTTGAACCCCACTTGATCTGTATCCGCTAACATCGATGTACATATATTATCCCACTGTTGTAGTATTGTTGTAGTACTATATGGTGTATTTAATGAACATTTTGACTGGTCGGTTCTTATAATGTTTTACACACGACACCCGTCAGACCTTGAAGCTATGAGCTCAAATCTGGTCATACTTGAAAGCAAAAATACCGCAACCGAATTTAGAGTGCATGCTAATATTTGGTGTTTATAAATGAAATGGGGTTTAACCTCCTACTGTTCTGCTCCTATACTGGGCTAATGAAGACAGGCATACGCCATACAGTGTGCTATGAGGGGAATTTTGCCCGGGCAGCGGCACTATCGCCTACTCTTATATCAATTCCAACTGCCAGGGGATCTTTTACGTGCATTCCAATATATACACGGGACCTTGGTGTATATAAGGATACTCCTAGGAAAGAATAAATTCAAAGAGAAAGACCACCTTTGTTAAATACTAATATTTTTAATTTAACATGTATTATTAAAATATCTAGCTCTTATAGATTTAAAAATAAGTTACCTTTTATGCAGGCATCTTCCAAAACACTGAAAGTGTCCCTAAATTCTCCCGCGAAACAGTCCATATCAGACACTAAGGCTTCAAAAGATTTAATGCCAGCCATATCGTCTCTTTCTACATCTACACAGAAGAGAATAATAAAAATGAAATCGCACAAAAAATTTGAACTAGTAAAATTGAATTTTAAAAAAAAGGAGTGATCAAAATGTATCTTTAATATTATTACATGCAACGGAATTTGAAAGTTCGTCCAATTATTATCCTAACTAAAACATTTTCGTTTAGGTATTGCTCTCCGATACAGTGTTTTTAAAATTTCTAATGATGGTATTCTGCTTCTAAATTATTCAATAACGCCAGAACATCCCTGTACAGTTGACACCTATTACCCATTGTTCTCCGAATATGGGTCTGAGAAAAAAACGAGCAACACAACCAGTTTAATGTAGTCCTCTGGCAGAATATAAAAATGTCACCAACCTATATCGGATGCTAGTCTATCCACCTGTCTGCATCTGCCAGTCTCCTTAAACCCTTTGGCTTCTGAAAATATCAAAAAGAGAATAGACTCTGGTTTCTACGTTTAACCATTCAATCATTCTAGCCTGTATTGTGTTTCGAATGAAGGCATGACAGGAAATGGAGTTTAACGTCCTACTTCTCTGTACTGCCTGTTCTATATTCCTATCATATCGTATTCGATTTATAATATCTAAGCGGGGGGGGGGGGGTTAAAGCGTAGATAACAAGGTCTGTCATTGAGTCAAATGGCGTGGGTTCGATTCTCCACTTGTACGTAACAAAGCGAAGGGCCACACATCAAACCACCTGTGTTTTCTCTGGGTCCTCCGGTTTCCTCACACTTCTAAAGACCCCTATTATTGAAATAAAATTGAGCCATGCATATAATACTCCTGAAATGACCTAGTTTGTATAGAGTGGATGTTAATCCACATTCTCTCTCGCTTTATATCTAAGTCGAAGTATAAAGAAGCGGGGTCTGGAAATGTAATATCAAAAACACCACTTTACCATAAAATACGTAGCAGTGGATAACGAGCTGACAATGCTCGTAACCATTACGTCAGGAATATGGAACATAACACATTGGTGACATTATATGGCTATACTTACGAACGAAAAGTCGCCCCCATGTATCAAATACTTCTTTGGCAATTTCTCCATACGTATGAAATCCCTGGCCTATTACGGCTGCGGTGTTGCCCTCTATATCTTCCCATTCTAAAACGACAAAAAAATAACTTTTGCTTAAGATAGTAAGAGCTCATTCTGCCTATTGCAGATCTCTCTTTTGGTCACAAATATTGAATAAACGGTATTCTCCCAATACTTAGACAGTCATATCTTAGACACCTTAAAACAACAACATTTAAGGTTGGGTCTACACTGAAAAAAAGGACTTTTCAATATCTTAACACATACTTGTATAGATTTTATTTCATATAAGTAATTACGTCGAATTTTAAAATAACATTTATTATGTTACTTTATTATCTGTAATAATATGATTTTATTTATTGAGAAAATCTGAATGGTATTGGGGAACTGGCTTAGGGATCTGGCTTAGCCTATATGTAAAACCACTCTTCCTGAATTTGAATGTCGAGGAATTCACTTGATTTTTTTTTTTAAATATTTCTAATTATCTAATTACATATAATAAAAGGTTATTCTGATTCTACCCTTTGTTTATTTTCACATCTTGTCTCAGACAATAGACAGAGACATGTTATTACAATGTCTGCATTTGGGGGGGGGGGGGCGAATGGTTAACACGTGCGCGCTGTATCATAAGACCTGTCATTGAGTCAACTGGCGTGGTTTCGAATCCCCGGTTGTACGTGACAAGGAGTAGGGTTGCCTGTCCAACCTCGTGGGTTTTCTCCGGGTCCTCCGATTTACTCCCACTGCTAAAGACCCCTACGCGCAAGCGAATTATTGAAATAAAATTAAACCATGTTTTAGTCCTGAAATGATCTAGTTTGTGTCGAGTGGCCGTTAAACCCCATTTCTCTCTCTCTCTCTCATGTCTGCATTTGAAAGTGTCTGATTGATATCACCCCAAAAATCTTGGCACGTCAAAGAAAATGTGAACATTATAACAATAGTGTTATATCTAGTTTTAAGAAATGTCTGAATGGGTGTGGAAATAGTCGAGTTAATCTTTTTATTTAATTTAATTGGTTCATTAATCGGAATTGGACATTTATTGCTTACCTGTAAATAACCAATCAAAATGAATTACTCTAAAAAAAAAAGGGGGGGGGGAGAAAAATTTATTGCAGTATTTTGCGATATTGAACCCTATTTGTACTACAGAAGTTAACTGTATTCTTAAGCACTGTGGTAATTCCTTCCTGGATTAGTATTTGTCTTAGACAAATAATAATTCAAACTTCAAATGAGTTATATTCACTGGTAATTGCAAACTATAAGGCACAGGGAGTCTTGAGCAGAAAAGATAATAAAAGGTAAGACTTTTTAAATACCTATATTAAACTTAATAGGCTTAATATGGTTCTCAGATATGTGACGGTGTACAGACTGTACAAAACACATCTATACACTCGCTATCAGGTTATTTTGCTCACAGAGAAGCGGGTGTGTAATCATTAGAGACAGATGTAAACTTCAAATGAGCATAGATGTTTGGATAATTGCTTGGTGTGGTTCTAGACTCATATAATGACACCAAACTGGCCATTTGGTTCAATGTGCAAATTGGTGATGCTTTAGTTCTAGACGGAGAAATATAATTTCTGTTTGTCAAGTACCGAGAACAAATTGCAAAAGAATTTCTTTCACTGGAATCTAGTAAAGGGATGTCTTAAGGACTCCCAACTCAAAATGTGTCACACTGACGTTATTTTGACGTCAAAACACTTAGTCCGGCAGAACTATGGATGAACCTGGAAGTTGTACACAAAGATTTTTTTTATAATTGATTTTAGTAGCCTATGGTGTCCTCTTTAATAATTTGCCGATTGAACCTGGGTCACCCTTGAGCGTTTTGAGAAATTCAAAATGGCGTCCAAGACGGCCGTCATTTCAAATAATCACCTATAACCCCCATACTATTTTGTCTAGGATGATAATTTTGGTGTCTAGCCGTATGTTTTGGGGGCCAAGGAATACACCGAAATCATCCATTATGTTGTGGGGGGATTAGATGATAGTAAAATGCAAAATGCCAAACAATATGGCCCTTTAACTCGATAGCGGCGGTTTGGACAATAATTATTTCACCGAACCAAACTATATATTTATGGACATAGAAGCATATGATTGGTACGATAACACTACATACACGCCTAAAAGGGGGTCCAGGGCCACATGGGACGGCCCTGGAAAGAAGGGCACAATCTGTGTTTTGATCATTTAAAAAAGCAAATACCCCCACAAAACTATGTAATATTAAGTTTAATCCTTTAGTCGTGTGCCTGGTTGCAACCTGCGACTTCACAGGTGCAAAATACTATACATTCTAAGCCACCCCTACTTGGGGCGTCACTCGTGCATGCTGCTACAGCTTTGGAAGTGGTGAGAGCTTGATTGTATTCTCTCTCTCACTCGTCGGAGTAGTAGAATCGATGCTTGCACGGGCCACTGTGCATGTATTTATGTCATCTTGTTATGGACAGAGCTCTAGCAAATCGATGCCTGAAACACGCTGGTGGGTATGGACATCTAAAAGTCACCATCCCCACTCAAACATGGTAGTCTTGCTCAATGAATGATGCATTTACAGGGAACGTAAAAAGAGCTAATCAACAAGCCATTGCTGGGTGAAGGATACTAAATTGATAACACTACAACCGGCTCACATGCTCCGGGGTAACTCATGCAGTACGCTTGCTTGTAGATGCACTACGGATGGCTTAGAATGTACAGTATTTTGTGCTTGTACTGTCTTAGGTTGCAGCCAGAAATAAGACCAAAGGATTAAACTGAATATTGCCTAGTTTTGTGGGGGTTATTTCGTGTTTTGTGGGTAGAATTTGTTTGTTTAAATGTTCACAAAACAGCTTGTGTCCCCCCCCCCCTCTTTCATATGCTCCTTTATCCAGAAATATGTAGTTTGTCTCTACATATAGTTTGGTTTGTCTGGCATTTTAGATTTTACTATCATCTAATCACCCCACAACATAATGAATGATTTCAGTGTATTCCTTGACCCTAGTAACATACGTTTAGACCCCAAAATTATCCTCCTAGAATAAATACTATGGGAGTTATGGGGGATTATTTGAAATGGCGGCCGTCTTGGACGCCATCTTGAGTTTCGCAAAACGCTCAAGGGTGACCGGAGTTCACCCGGCAGATTCTGAAAGAGGACACCATAGGCTACTAAAATCATCCCCCCCAAAAAGCTTTATAGACAATTTCAAGATTCACTCAAAATATTCAGATTTGACGACCGGACAAACTGCTTTGATACCGAATAAGCGGGTTTGACGTGAGTTCTGGTGTCTTAAGAGAACTAAGAATAAGGGGTCTGAGAACTAGTTTGTTTTTGTAACACTGACTGACTGGACTGGAATCCAATCTGGTGAGTGAAATTCTATCTGCACTGTACATGCACAAGAGCATTAGGGGTGACCGAAATGTCCAACCGGTGAAGCTGAGCAGCCTGATTGATTACATTCGACCCCTTGGTGGTGAGCTTGACAACTTCCCCACCATTATTTAGGTTATTGTCGCAAATTATGCACGTATCCATGGCGAAATACGGCTCTTTTCACAAAATTAGCAAAAAACGTTTCAAATATCTGGGGGAAAACCCAGACTGGATTGCAAACCAATCACCAGAGCTTAACACAATGGTTCTCAACCCTTGTTTGCCAACGGCACACCTTGGAACATATGAAAAAATAGCGGCACACCTAGCTAAATATATATGAAAAATATTTGAATTTTGCAAATTAAAACATAGCAAGTCATAGACGGTATACAACCGCAGACACAGACTAGTCATAGACAAATAGAATGACTCAAATTAAATATAAAAAACCCCACAGCTAAGAACTTACCAGTGAATACTCGTTTGGGATCACGTTTTTTTCCCATTTTCTTAGTGTGTCGTTCAAAATTTCGCGGCTCACTTATGAAGATCTCGCGGCATACCTGTGTGCCGCGGCACACTGGTTGAAAATCACTGGCTTAACAACATCCCCACTATTATTTAGGTTATTTCCGCCAATTATGCACGTATCTATGGCGAAATACAACTCTTTTCACAAAATTACCAAAAAAAGTTTCAAATATCTGGGGAAAACCCAGACTGGATTCAAAGCCAATCACAAGAGTTTGACAACATCCCCACTATTAATTAGGTTATTGCCACCAATCATGCACGTATCCATGGCGAAATACAACTCTTTTCACAAAATTAGCAAAATAAAGTTTCAAATATCTGGGGGAAAACCCAGATTGGATTCCAGTCCAATCAGTCAGTGTCACAAAAACAAACTAGGTCACAACCCGCTTATTCTGAGTTCTCCTTGACATCAGAACTCACGTCAAACCCGCTTATTCAGTATCAAAGCAGTGTTTTGACGTCAAAATAACGGCAGTGTGACGTCATGACGTCAGGGCTTCACACCATGACCTGCTGGCGTTGTGATAATTTTATTTTCTGATTCGTTGATATCACTTTTGTATCTAATGATGATACATTTATTGCTCTAAAACGAGCCGTTTCCAAGATATGGAGGCCAGAAAGTCCAATTGGCGGCCATCTTGGATTTATGCTAATTATGAAAAACGCTACAGGGTTTCAGCGGACGATTTTGAGTTGGGAGTCCTTTAGACATCCCTTTACTAGATTCCAGTGAAAGAAATTCTTTTGCAATTTGTTCTCGGTAGTTTTGTATTTCTCTCCGTCTATAAGTAATAATGCTGCCTAACTAAAATCCTTTCCCTTGAATTCGCATGTAGCCATACATATGAGTCTCAAAATAATATCTATTGTTAAATTATGCTCTTTTCGCCATATTAAAGAGGAATTATCAATTAACAGTCGATAATTATAAAAATGTATTATTGTATGATGAAATCAACCTTTAGTTTTAAACAATTGGTGAACATTTCCAATGTTAATGCCTCTTTTATCAATATTTGTTTTTATATTTTTTTTTAAATTCTCCATTTTATTTGATTTTTATGCTTTATTTATTTTATCTATCTACTATTATTTGTCCTGTACCTTATCTATTAGTTCCCTTTTATGTACTGTAGACATTTGTAAATTCCTAATCTTTTAAAGGGGATATTTCTTCTTAAAAGTATTTCAATTTAATGCATAATTAATGTCTTTAGTGCTTGGTTTGGTTGTTATTAAATTTAGATATATTTCAAATGTATGTTTTGGGGGCATGGGGTAGGGATATTGTGTACATATCTATTATATTCTCAGTTCTTTTTTAAGGTTTATTGTAAAAACAATAAATAAATAGCTTTTTTTTAATTTTCTGATTGGGGATTGGGGGTTGTGAACTTTGCTATTATTGAACACAAATTTATTAGTATTGGAATTAACTTTGTTTATTAATATTCTAAATGTCTCAGTGCTTGTTTTGGGTTTATTTTTTCAATTTTAATAGCAATTTTTTTATGATTAGGGGGGGGGGGGGGATGTTTTCATTGTATAACACAATTTTATTAGTATTGGAATTATTAACCCTCGAGATGTCTGTTTAGTATTGATTTGGCAGTAATTTAATTTTTCATCTCATTTATTGAATAAATAATAATTTAAATTAACAAACCAAATTATTGTTATGTCATTTATCAAACATTACAGTTTAAACAGAACAAACGGGGGAGGGGTTGCACGGTAAAGGTTGCTATACTGGATATAAATTGGTAAAATCCAACACTAGATTTTGTTGGTGGTTATACACAAGTTTGTATGAAAAAACACAAGTTTCAGAAATTTCAACACAAGTTTCAGAAATTTTAAAACAAGTAATGTGTAGATTTTTACACAAGTTTGTGTTGTTTGATAAATTTTAACACAAGTTTTGTGTTGTTTCAACATTTAACACAAGTTTTGTGTTGTTTCAACATTTAACACAAGTTTGTGTTGATTCAACACAAGTTTTTTTGTCAGTGTACTATTTAGACATTTATTCACATGACAATCAACTCTTACAGTTCTTCTTTTTTCTGAGATTATTTATTGAATAAATATTTACATATTATAAAAGTACACTATATAATTGTGGGATCTGAAAACAAGCCGGAGCTTATATAAATTCTTCTTTAAATTATGAATATGTTTACGTCGTTGGTTTCCGTTAAGTGTATAAAAATACTTAAATTTAAAGTTTTAATGGATTCTTTTGTGGAAAACCACCTTCATCGCTTTTTTTTCATAACTTACCCTTTTTTCCTGTCATGATCAGTAATGCATCCGGTTTCATCGCATCAAAAGCCTGAACAAAAGCCTTAGATTTCTGTGCCCATCCGTGTACTCTTGATTTGAATTCCGGAAAGCCCATATAATCTGTAACAGATATTGACCCTTGACACAATTAAATCCTAAACAACAATCATAGAAAACATCAATGCATGTGTTTGTAATCTGCCTATTGGGTGTCTTTGGCTTCAAATGTTTTGTAAACTATTATTTAGACATTTATAAACATGACAAGCCTATGATCAACTTCTCTAAACTTTCGGATGGCTGAGATTAAATTGGATTAGAACACCCGCGAGATTTAAAAAAAGTAAGATAACTGAGACTTCATCAGAACTTCACTCATGATAAAGTAATTTGAATGAAATCTTCAGTATAATCTGGGTTTTTTTAACTATTATAGCTAGAACAACTAGCTCTTTATCTACATCTTACATGATTCATTTTTAAACGGCCAACTCTTATTTCGAATTCCAACTGTCAAGTGTTCTTTGAAGTGCATCCCAATGTGTACACGTGACCTCCGTTTTTCGTGTCATTTGAACGGGTAAACTCTTTCTTGTCAGGCCCTCGGTTCTGTGCCACGTACAAGGGGTAACCACACCGGAAAACTGCGAGAACTTCCTCGGCCATATCCACGTGCGAACCCGAGACCTCCAGGTTAGCGAGCCAGCGCCTTGAGCCACGGCCCCCTACCACCCCAACCCCCACCGGTTAAATCAGTAGACCCACATTATGCACAAATCATTTGATACATGTGGCCCTTTACTGTTTAGTCCAGCGAAATGGGGGCTACATAATCATAATATGCTTATTATACAAGACTTAACGTGCGTCGGATAACGCATTGCGTTTGTAGAGACAAACAGGTCTTTACGCTTACGGAAGTTTAAGTGGATACTTGAGATCGGAGGATTGGTGACCGAGTGGTCTGACGAAAACACTTTTGATCACTAGTTCCAGAGCTTGTACATGAAAAGGAGCCTGGTCGCCGGCTTAACCCCTATTATTATTGCTAAACAGTCCTGCCCACAAAAGTTGTTTAATTCACTCATTATTTTTTTATTATTATTATTTATTTACTACTCAGTCAAATTGATCCACCCTGAACCGAGTATTTTGGAGCCTAGCCTCGATCATCATTACTAAAGTCGGTACAATAAAAAAATATAGTCTCGGTTATCCATTTTTTGATTTAATCAGAAGCAGCAGACCGGATTCTAATCCAGTAAATATCTAATTAATACTTTAGACATTTCAGGCCTAAAGAAGGACCTGCAATAGATAATTTTAGCGTGCAATGTCTATTTTCTGTCTTGTCCGCAGGTTTATCTTTTGTTTTGCGTGTAGTGCGGTCCTCCTGCAATTCTATAATGTATGTTTAAATACGTGTATGTAGTGGACCGTACATTATATATCATAGATCGGGAGGTTGGGTGGCCGAACGGTCTGTCTGTCATTGAGTCAACTGGCGGGTTTTCGATTTCCCGGTTGTACGTGACAAGAAGTAGGGTTGCCTGTCCAACCTCGTGGGTTTTCCCCGGGTCCTCCGGTTTCCTCCCACTGCTAAAGACCCCTACGCGCAAGCGAATTATTGAAATAAAATTGAACCACGTGTTAGTCCCGAAATGACCTAGTTTGTGTCGAGTGGACGTTAAACCCCACTTCTCTCTATATATAAACATGTATATATATATCATAGACCAATAACGTTTGGGGTTCAATAGGTTCACACATTTGGGGTTCAAATTGGTTCTATGCATTTAAATAAATACTTTACATGTATACAATATAATCTTAATATGATACAAGTTATGGAGCAATTTGTCAAATAGGTTACGTTCTGCTTCAATATACTTTAATGTCTTCTACAGTTACATGAGACTGTTGCCAGGTGAATGCGATAAATATGTCTCGGGTCGACGTGTTTGCGATAGGTTTACTTTAGCTGTTTCGTACAGGCAGCGCAGAAAAAAGCGAACATTGTGAATTTCCAAAATCCTTTAACCACAGCTCCATCCATCAGTGACGTTGAAGTGTTACCTAAAGTATCACAGGATTTCCTTTTTGACCTGGCATTTACATCCACATGACTATTGTAGCATTCTAACAGATACTTACATTCTTCCGGTGGATTTGAGTTGTTTCCAGACTCCACACTACCTCCAGTTTCACCACCGACTTGAGAATTGTCCCCGGAAACCACCCTTTTTTCATACTGCAAAATAAATTGATAATTTAGACCAAATAAGTTTAATTCTTACTGTGGGCGAATAAAAATTCCGGCGATTAGATAACAATTATTGGATGACAGCAGCTTACCCTCACAACAGTATAATTGTACGTGCTAATGTGGGTGTAAAGTAAGCGTTCCGCCCCAATAACAGATTTGTATAATATAATAGTTCCATATTAAATAACACACCCGAGTGAGTAAAAATATATTGAAAAAAATTGTCGCAGAGCAGTGTTGCGTTGGATATTTTTTTCAAGCAAACAACTTCTAAGCAGGGCCGTATTTAGCGGGGGTGCAGGGGGTACATTGCACCTCCATAAAAATAAGGCGCCCCGAGAAATTGCGCCCCCACTTCATCCCCCAAAAAACAAAAATTATTTGACAATCTTTCAATTATAAAATAATACACTTGATTATAATAACACAGTGATGCTCTTAAGGCACTGATCAGTCGATCGGTTTTAAGGGCGCCCACACGCCAATGGGTTCGTTTGCCCTGATCGAAACTTTCTTATATCACATACGTGGAGGCTATGGCGCCCCACCACTCTGCTGCACCCCCACTTTTAAAATCCTACATACGGCCCTGCTTCTAAGTTATAAATTCTTAAATTGACTACAGGCCTCGTTTTACAACGACTTTAAATTTACAAATTTAACTGATGTGGCACAATTCATATAAATATACCATGGATATAAATCTTGATATGAATCGATACACATAATACAGTATAAAACTTGTAGGAGCGCAGCTTTAATTACAATTTGGGTGTTCAGTAGTCATGAATATCGATTACACATTTGCCAGCCATCAAACTGTGGAAAACAAAATCATCCAAACCACCCCTTACAAGGCTATAATTACACCCATTCTATAGTCATGGGTATTGGGTTCACTTATTGAGTGTAGCTCTTTTAGTTAGTTACCTTGCGAAACCGTCACATTTTACAAACATTAGCTGGGGCGTGACGTGTACACTGCTAAACAAAGCTTATCGTTTTTGTGTGCACCCATTTTCATAGGTTTGAATGCATGGAGTGGGGTCGAAATAATTAAATGCAAAGCACGGCAAATGAAACGATTATTGTGCCTAAGATCTAATATCTAACCTTAGATGATAAGTTCTGTCAAGTAGCATGGTTTCCATCCCAGACATTAAGGTGACAAGAGCAGGGTTGTATTGCATATCTCCGTCGATTTTCACCGGAGCCACTCCCTCTCTGCAATACACCATGTGTTAGTCCCGAAATAACCTGGCTCGTCTTACCGTTCAGTTGACGCTAAGCCTAGTTCATACAGAGAATACACATTTTTTAAACTTTGCTTATCGCCGGTGATTTGGTATCAAACTTTGGTTTGTCGATACTAAATACTTTCAGTCTGTGCCGCGTGAGAATGAGACAGATATCAACAATCCTCTCCAATTTGCCTTCGAAAGATTATAATATATGTAGTAGGTGCAAATGAACCGCACTACATCTTGCGAAAACTGATGAAAACTACATACCGGGTTTCTGTTGTGTGATTGGTCGGAACTGGAATCAAGTTTGGCTAAGGTTCGAAGCAATTCATCGTTCAGACTATCTGCAGCTGATGTCACCAGCGCCAAAGTCAAACATACAGCGACAAAAAGTAACGACTTCATCTTTCTTCACAGGTTCTGTTAGTGGTGTATTGTAGTCTGCAAAGGCTTATATACCTACCCAAGATAATGGTGTATTACAAAGCCTGGGTACGAATAGAAAAGTATTTCGAAATGCCTGTATGTGTTTCTTTTTTTTTGTTACGGGTGGGTGATTTTTGTTACGGTAGGGTGATTACAGTAATTTAGATAAAACTCGACACAAGTTTGCTGATCCGTACAGTATATTCTAAAAACTTTTAGAGAAATTTCTTGTTAAATTTAGTGAAAACTCTGATTCAAGCCATTTATTTTATTTTATTGTAGTTTAATTATTAAGAAACTGTTCTTCCTTTGTATTCCCTTATTGAACTCTTTTCAAACACCGTTTATCAGAGAGTTGAACATTAGTTGTAACCCGGCCAGTTTGTATTTTTTTTCTTTTTGACAGGAATGCTGCTAAATTTGATGTTTATTTGTACGGGTATATTCAGATAATGTAACTAGGGGCAGGTGCGCTACGAAAGGGAAATTTGGAAACTCGGCTGATTTTAACCAACGGTTTGTTGCTATGTTGCTTATGTGACACTTTTTAAGATTTTTTCAAATACTTTTGCTGGTTTAGAAGTGACAAAAGAAACATAAATTGACATTTTTTTACCGCCTCTTCTATACGACATAATTCTGTGGTGCTACTCCTTCATTTGAGGGTTGGGGTTGGATGGCCGAATGGTCAGCACGCGTGCGCTGTATCATACGGTCTGTCATTGAGTCAACTGGCGGGCTTTCGATTCCCCGGTTGTACGTGACAAGGAGTAGGGTCGCCTGTCCAACCTCGTGGGTTTTCTCCGGGTCCTCCGGTTTCTTCGGGCTGCTAAAGACCCCTACGCGCAAGCGAACTATTGAAATAAAATTGAACCATGTGTTAGTCCCGAAATGTGTCGAGTGGACGTTAAACCCCATTTCTCTCTCTCTCGCATTTGAGGGCGTGTGAAATAGCATTATTTGACGTCCGTTTCCACCGAAGTGATATCGCAGACGACCATGTGATGGATATCGGGTTTGGTATAAAGACTAAACAAAATTGGCCCAGAACGGATCCTTGGCGGACACCGAAGCTAAAGATGGGCAAGCTGATGATACATTTTTCATGATAACAATTTTTGGAAGACCCATAACAGTGACAGAGATTCGAGTCTATGGATTACCGTATTAAAATACTAATATTTAAATCATTTTACGGTATGGCTGTTTCCTTAACTGATGGGAACGGCCATGATTAATATATTTTCCTCATTATGCTCTGCTAAACAAACTCAACCCTTTTGCACAAATAGACTGACGGACACGAAGACAATCAGTATAACATTTATATCGTGGAAAATAAAAATATTTAAGAGTTTACAGTACGCTTACATATTGAGATTGTTTTAAATGGGCTGGCCATGAAATTGTATACCTCGTCACACATTAAAGGCAATTTCTACCTCAAGGTCGAATTATCAACAACAAAATATTTGGCAGTTATAAGGCTGAACTTTACTGACCCCTCCATATAGTACACCCTCAATAATCATCATAGTAACATAATCATATGCACCATTCAAATTATCAACAAATGACACGGGCGATAATAATGCTTGACACAGACTAGGACATATCGGGGTGAACACACGGTTCAATTTTGTATTATTTAAAAATTCGCTTGCGCCTAGGAGTCTTTAACAGTAGGAAACTTGAAAGCCCTGGCGACCCTGCTCCTTGTCACGTACAAGCGGTAAATCGAAACCACGCCACTTGACTCAATGACAGACCTTATGATCCAACGCACACGCGTTAACCATTCGGCCACCCCATATCTTAATTTGTACTATTTCTATTTTTCTCGTTTTCTCTTATCTAGTGACATTCAATTACTTTCTTGAATTATCAGATATCCTCTCACAGGTTCACATAACAACGTTCACATAAGGAATTATTAGTGAGCAGAAATTCGCCCTTGTATCTGTTATCACTCGTCACTTCAGTCAGTTATGTATAGGATATTAACCTACCCGAGGTTGATATGATACAGAACACGCGGGCGAAGCCCAAGTGTTCTCTACCATATCAATCCGAGGGCGAATAGGTTTATATCCAACATATACAACGCCATTTCACCCTTAAATTTAATGGGCTCTTCTATTAAAAGGTAACAATGATTGGATAATTGCTGGTAGTCTGGAGGCTCAGCGCGGGGTGGGTGTCCATCAACTGGCACAAAACCAGACCCAACTTTTCTAGAGTAAAATTTTGCGTAGAATACGATGCCGAGTGGTAATCAGTCCGCCTTTGGGGCGTTTTCGAGATATTTGGGATCAAAGGTAAAATGGGTTCATTTGCACTGAAAGTGAATGCGCGGTCATTCCTGTATCATGAAAATAAGCTGAAAATGATCGAAAGTAATCACACTTTCAATAAAAGTGTAAACTTGCTAAATTATTGAAATTGTGATTACTTTCGATTATTTTCCGCTTCTTTTCATAAATAGCGAAAATATCCGAAGTAATCACGTGAATGTACGTGCATGTTTTTGTTTATACGTCGCTACTTTGGAGTAATTGAATTGAAAGCAAAAACAAAATGGATAGTAATACGAAGTCAGACGAATAATCAATCCTTTTTAGCCAACATATTGACGATGGAATAGATGTGAATACAAATACTTTAGAGGAAATTTCAGAATCGAGGAAATTTCTGATTTGTGCTCCACATATCAATTATTACACACGTCAATGGTGTTTATCATTTGTTTTGTTAAATTTTCCTCCTTCGTGAAATCACAATCAGTTCCTTGGTGTTATTTCTATTATTACATGTTGTCCATGCGTATTTACCCTTCTTAAACAAGTTTTCAAGACGTTTGTCAACAGACCTATATTAAATCTGAGCTGTTTATATCCTGGTACGGCCATATTTGAAACGTTCATATCTACTGAAGATGTCTAATGGTAAGATATTTAATATTTAGATATTTCTTTTGAGTATTCCTGTAATATCTTGTGAGATATTCAGTCCAGTTGTATTAAATGATAGTACAAACATTCACTGTAGCAGTTACACGGGGACTTTTGGGTGTTCACTTATCACAAAATAAGCAACTATTTTATTCAATTCAAACACTTACCAGATTGATTAATATATAGGATCACATACAAATTTTATTTAAATCGGCTGAAAATTCTAGACGATATCGCAATCTCAAGCTATTTGAAGCTAAACGCATCAATTTCAATAAAATTGGATGAAAAATATACTTTATCTTGACCAAGCAATTTAAAAGTTTATACTCCTGATAGAAAGACTTAGTCTGTGTAAAATGGGTATGTGCCTATAGGATAGAAATGAGACGTTTATTTACAGGATACCATCGGGAACTGTATCATTGGAAAAGTCAGGGATTTGACTCCGATATGTGAATTAACGTTTTAATGTGAATATGATAGTCTCGAATTTCGTGTTCTCGTGAAAGACGTTAAGACGTTGAGACGGCTGTCTTTTCGGATCCATGCATTTCTTACAATCCCCTTCATCAGTAAGGAACAGACGTGTCAACCCCCAGATATGAAAAGACAGGAGACCACCAATGAAAAAACAGGAGAACCTAGGAGATTTGATTTTTCATCAAATAACTTCATTTTTATTGATCATATGCTAATACTAAATGTCTTTAGCACTTTTTACACTGTGCACTCGTTTTTGCTGCGTACAAAAATGAACAAATGAAAATTCCCTTTGGGTTTCGGGTCAATAATTTAAATGACAGAAGAAATTTTTTTGAAATATTTTGCGAAAATATACATAAATGCTACCCAAAAGACTTTAATACGGTACTCCAAAAAGTGTTTTCACGAGTGGGTGTTAGTAATCGAACCTATTCGAAACGTATAATATAATTTTAAACTCATGTTGCATAAAAACGTAAAATATTGAAAACTTTAATTATTATAGATGGTCAACCACTGATCTGCAATTTAAAGGACAATATTGGTGTCAGTCATTATCACATATGTGATAGAACTGGTTAAACACGTTCCAAATATAATTTTAACACAGAGATCATTGCTACGATATAGATGAGTAATACGGGTGTCAAGAATCGGAAGTTATATAGAGGAATAACTCGTGTTTTCCTTTGGCGTTCGTCACTTCCGATTCATGACACCTTAAATTTCGTACACGAAATTGTGTTCCATCGCCTAGTTTTGCGCGGTCTTGTTATAGTGATCACCCCCATCGTCATACAATTACCTTGGCGTTTCACACATTATGGCTCCTAGTGCGTTAAAGTCTGTATTATCTGGCAATGAACAAAGTTTCAACACCAAATATTATATTTGGGCTACTTCTTGTTTCTGCGTTTCTATCAACATGTATCTATATTAATTTTAAAAATAAATGTTTTCTATCTTGTTTTGTTACATATTTTATACGATTTCTATATAAATTAATTTTTCATTCTTTTTTCTGTTTGTTTTGATATTGTTTTTATGAAAGAATCTAGACCGTATCATCTTTTTTTTTAAACAATATTTTTATTCAATAAATCCGAATTTGGGCTGGGAAACAGGCTATGTCTATGTGTAACCCCTCTCTCTAATTTAGATACATGTATACTTTATAAATATATTATAAAAATATACAACATATAGGATACATAATGGATAATATAGAGACTTGGATGAATGTACAGTGTTCAGGGCTTGAGATAACTTAAAGAGTTGTTTTATGGAGATTTAAATCTTTTTGATAAAAGAATAAATTGTTGGACTTCTTGGAAAATGAGTGTGTTTATCTCAGGACTAAATGTTGTTGGCCAATGCAACAGACAACAGATTGTTTTATGATTATGTTGAAGGTTGTGGATTGTCTGTTGTCTTGCATCTGAATATAAGTGGCATACGAGTAAATAGTGTTCGGTATCTTCGAATTTGTGACCGCAGAGGCAAGCAGGGCTATCATCGTCTGAGGAATTTATGGCCTTGTAGATTTGAGCAGCATATATCTTAGTTTACAGTGGATTATTTGTAATTTTATTTTCCCTAGATGGCACGATGGTATCTAATTTGTTTAGTGAGTTTCCAAAGATAGCAAGGGATCGAGATTATAATCCGTTATACGCTGTAGCCTAAATGGGGTGTTTTTATGGAAGAATCTATTTTAGCTTTATAGAAAGGGTATATAAGTAGGGATAATAAAACCACCAGACCGTTGTGTGCGATATCACCTCGGTGGAAGCGGACGTAAAATACAACTAACACACACACCACCAGACCGTATAATCTGTTGTTATAAGCTGTAGTCGAAATGGGACGTAGTCGAAATTGGTGGGTATCATTACGTATATTCGTTGTTGTCGAATCGGAGACAATATATAGTAGTAGGATCGAGACTTTGGTTATGTATTTAGGTGTTCGAATTACCAAGGAAATTTGTCTATAAGGATTAAGAAATATCAATCTGATTAAAACACTGATCCCATTTTGTTTCGTTTTTTATAGTTCAAAATTTCGTTTTACTTGTCTTCACAACACTAGGATCTGGAAGAGATGTTATATAACACGCTTTCTAGTTGAAGTGAGGGATCAGCCAATGAAACGGTCTGCTACGGCGAGTTCTTGGCGTGCGATGCACGAAACTAGAAACCTCAACGTTGATTGATTATTCAATGTCTAACGTCATAGGGTCAAAAGCCGTTCGTACGACCTCTGACGCCACCTTCCACATCAACCGGTCAAATCTTCATAATTAAAGAAAAATAATCTGTAATCGGGTTTTTATTTTTCAAATCTATCGCTCGTAAATGTCAATTATGCTCGTGTTATATTGTTATTTAGTGTATTTATGTGTGCGTGCTGCCTAGTGAACCGAATCGTTTATAGCGGTATACCAGATTCAAAATTCTAAATTGTTAATGTCGTGGTATCGTCTAATTCCTAACTTCTGTTCATTTAATTTCTAAATTAAGACAATGTATAGTCCAATGTCTTTTTCATAGACGCCCTGCATGCTTAGTATGACAATAGAACAAATTTAGAATTCTGACACTTCTGCCTTGCAACCATCATTATAAAGTCGTTTGGTGTCGCTACTGCGTACCCAATTTGGTGATTGACAATCTGGTTAAAACACAGATCCTATTTCGTTTCGTTTTTATAGTTCAAAATTTCGTTTTACTTGTCTTTACTACACTTGGATCCGGAAGAGTTGTTATTTAACTCGTGTTCTGAATGGTGTCAGGGATAAGCCAATGAAACGGTCTGTCACGGCGAGCTTTAGGCGTGTTTTTCACGGAACTGTGGATAATCCACTAGTAACATCAATGCTGATTGATTAATCAAATGTCTGACATCAATTGGTCATAAGTCGGTCTTTTGACCCCTGACGTGACCTATTGCTATAACTTGTCAGATCTTCATGTAGTGTAGGCCATCGAAAGTATGTAAAAACGAAACGAAATATAGATCTGTATTTTAATCAGATTGGGTGATTGAGTACCTGATCTGGGACACTACGTTGATAAAAACGACTCCTTCCAGGGCTGGCGGAAGAATTCTTGATTGGCGGGTGGGGGGGGCTACCATCCTAGGACTTTAGACGAGGACGAAGGGGCCGCCTAGGCCCCGGAAGCTCATAGAGGTCTAGATCGTCAGAGACGTTTTCTGAGCGATTTCTGGCTTATAAAATTACTTAGCATTGAAGTGAAATATTATTTTTCTAAATCCCTTGCCATGCAAGCACAGTCGAAGATGGTTTCCTGCGATGCTGAAATATGTGCATGTGGGCAGTCTAGAGGTCACAATTTTTATACGATTTTGATGAAACTAACAATGTATTTTATACCCGAAAGTCCTATATCTTGTGGAACTCTTGTGGTGAAAAACACCACAGACCAAAAAAAACTGTATCAAATTTATTTCAAGTCGAAATGAAATGAAATGAAATGGGGTTTAACGTCCTACTGTTTTGCTCCTAAACTGGGCTAATGAAGACGGGCATACGCCATACAGTGTGCTATGAGGGAAATTTTGTCCGGGCAGCGGCGCTACGGTCTACTCTTATATCGAATTCCAACAGCCAAGGGGTCTTTTACGTGCACGCCAATTTGTACACGGAACCTCGGTTTTTCGTCCCATCCGAACGACTAGACAGATGTCCTTGTCAGGCCCTACGTCCTGTTCACTAACAAGGGGAAACCACGCCGGAAAATCTGGATGAACTTTCTCGACCAATGGTATTTTTTCTATGTCCAATTTTGTGGTAAAAAACGCCACAGACCCAAACGCTCTATCAGAATTATCAGAAGTCGAAAATATTGTGGAACCCTTGTGGTAAAAATCACCACAGACGCAAAACACTCTATGAAAATTATTCTTAGTGGAAAATCTTGTGGTGTGTGGTACTACACAGGCATATAGGGAGGTCTGAGAAGAAATTTGTGAAAAAAAGGTCCAATTTTTGTGGAACTCTTGTGGTGAAAAACACCACAGGCTCAAAACACTAAGTCGAAAACCTTGTGGAATGTATTTATTTTCAGAAACCCAAAACCTTGTGGAATGTATTTATTTTCAGAAACCCAATATCTTGTGGAACTCTTGTGGTGAAAAGTTCCACACAAGATGAATGGCGTAATGGACTGTAACTTTCTGGATTATGACCCCTAATTGTACTATAAATAGCTTGTGGACACTCTAGAGGTCACCATTTCTTTTATCTTATTTTCAAAACCATTCAAATATATCCCCGTTACATCAAAATTATGGTTGAGTCCGCATTTCCTGAAAATCAGACCGAAATTTTCAGTCAAATGACCACCCCCTTTTACGCAAATAGTATAAAAGCATCTAGAGGACAGAATTGTTATCCGATTTAGATGAACTTAAAACGAGTATCATTGGCTCTTGGATGAGTTGACCGACTGCCTTTTACCCAAAATGCGAAATATTTATGAAGTTTGTGGACCATTCATGGGGTGACAATATTTGTCCGATTCATGAGATGAAACTTAAACTATGTGTTAAGGATCAGCAGTTCGATTTTGGTACGCATCAGACGTTACATTCTAGAGCTACAGCCCCTGCCTATTGATTTTACTCATTCCCCATACATTTCTCGGAAAATGTGAGCGTATTTTGCATTGTAACCGCTTGTTTTAACTGGTCATAACTGATAGCATTGAATTATTTGATAGATAAGGGACGCAAGGAAAGAGTGTAAGACAAACTCTATCCCGTCGTTTTTTGTTTGTGCTTTTTAATTTACACAATTTGTCATAGATACAACGGAAGTGCTATGGAGTTGAAATAAAGATCGACTGTTCAGTTAACTAATCGTTACCTTCGCAATTAGGATTTTCTTTACCCAGGGATCAGTATAGAGCATGGTTGATAACAGGGTTTTCTTCTGAAAGTCTACGTTCTAGAAGTCTCACTTCTATCTAACGGCATAATTACTTGCGTGCCATAACCTAGAGAAAGGAGTACTTGCGGCCAAATTATTGGGGACTAAAGCCCCCTCGCCCCGACCCCACCGGGCCCGCCTTCTTTGTCAGGTTGAACGGTTGGATGGGGTGCTAGAAGTGAAACAACATCGAACATGATATAGTTTTCAAAAAACTATGTCAAATAGGCTATACAACATTTGTTCAAACTTATTAGGATTTGGAGAATATATTCTGTAACTGCTCTAAAAAAAATGGCACTTCATAATGATAAACATTTTTTTAAAAAATATTTCAAAGATATAACGTTTAGAAACTCCAAATAATATGGAGATGAAACGGACTTTAAAGGAGACCAGGATAATCTGTTCATGTGGATACCTACCCAACTTACGTTCATGGTAGTTTTTTCCAACCATATATTATTTAAGCTGCATTAAAGCGGAATGATGGTAGATTACATAAAGTTGACAATATTTGGTATAATAGTTGAACAGATGTAAAGGGAATATGATGAAAATTCCAGTCAAATTACTTCACTCAGAGCCGAGAAAACCTCATTTTAATAACACTGTAGCCTCGGTTGTCAATATTATCATTATTACGATGATAAACAAAGCCTCGATTATCCATTTGTACGGTTAATCATCAACGGTCGTTGAACTGCAGATCTGATTGAAATCTGTTGAAAATGGTAGGTATTCGATGGCACCGGGAGTTGATTATGGTCTTGGCATGTTAAAGTTACATTCTCACGAAAGTATGTATAGGGTCCAATAAAATTATCCCAAATTTGGTATAATATGGAAAGTAAAGACACACAATCTTACTAGAAACGTACTAGGTTCCCTGAAAAACACGCATTAGGTATAAATAAATTGATAAATGTATAGTGACGGCATACCTTTTGAACAATAGCAAGATAAAATAATTGATAAAGTTTTTTATTGATTCTTTAGAAACAAATCTACCCAGTCAGTATGATAGCGACTCTGGATGTGATCCAGCATTCATTGCTGAACAGCAACGTATACTTGATGAGGCTGCTGCCCGAGTTCAATCTAGAACTGCCGAAGACGATGACAGACATACATCTTCACTTATTCGACCAACCCCTGACAGAGCTAGACCAGAGTATTATGTGCCCATTAGTACTCAAGATGTGGTGGTACGTTGGATGTTTGTATTTTATTAGATTTACCAACATTGTTTTAAAATGTTTTTTTTTTTTATTAGATTTACCAACATCGTTTATAATAGTTATACTCCAAACTATCTTTGAGTAAAAGTCCCTTGCCATTGCTGTCTTCATTTCGACTACCACGTCTGAAGAACTCATAGTAATACAACAATCCTTGGTTGATAGACATGTCTTCCCTTTATTTCAAATTGGGTCATTTATTTGCACAGTAATGACATCGGTAGCAACCAAGGCAGATGTTTTATATAATTTAGGGGCATGCTGCTTTATCATATTACTGGTTGACATCGTGCTATTGGGTTACCTTTCAACTATTAGTTGATACATTTCAGATGAACCAGCCTGTGTTGCCCACAGTAACAACACAGAAACCAGAGTCCCACATTGGGTTATCTGTTTTCACGTTTTTGTGTTGTTGTATGCCACTGGGATTAATAGCCATAATCATGTCTTTAAAGGTAAGTTCTGTTTGATTTGTTTGTTCTTTTTGGAGTAATGAAGAATTCTAATCCTGTCTTTTAAAGCTTATAAACAATCCCTGCTATTTCTATTCGTCTTTTGTCGCCACCTTTATCAGTCAAGTCTCCCAAGTACTTGTAAACAGTCTACGGGTCTGTAATATAATAAGGTGCGACATGTTTTACCTTAATGTTGCAATCTGATTAAAATGAAGATCTATATTTCGGGGTTTTTTTTATACTTTCGATGACGCCACTGCACGACGATCCGACCAGTTGTAATGGGAGGTGGCGTCAGGGGTTAAGCGATCGTTTTTTGACCCTATGACGTCAGACAGTTGATTAATGAGTCAGCGTTGATGTTTCTAGTGGAATATCCACAGTTCCGTGCATAGCACGCAAAGAACTCGTAGTAACAGACCTTTTCAATGGCTAATAACTCACATCAACCAGAACGCGGGTTACATAACAACTCTTCCTAGTGTAGTAAAGACAAGTAAAACGAAATTTTGAACTATAAAAAAACGAAACGAAATAGGATCTGCGGTTTAATCAGATAGTTAAGGTTGTAGTAAACATTTTATTGCTTAAAGTCCCGATGCGCCATTGGCATTTGTCGCTAAAATACCATGGGGGTTGGATGGCCGAATGGTTAGCTCGTGCGGGCTGTATCATAAGGCCTGTCATTGAGTCAACTGGCATGGTTTCGAATCGCCGGTTGTACGTGACAATGAGTAGGATCGCCTGTCCAACCTTGTGGGTTATCTCCGGGTCCCTTTGAAAGAAATTACTAGGCGGGATTTGGCATTAGATATATTTGTGGCTAGCGTGGACGACTTTGCTGTTGGTCGGCGTAGTCCTAGCCTCTGTTTACTTTTGGGAACAGTATATGAATACAGAATCCGAGTCAGATTTTAAAGCCGGAGGGTGTAGTGACCAAAACGATGCATGGAGTAGAGTGCCGTTACTGTCATCGCCTTGTACGTGACAAGGCGTATAAGGTCACCTACCCAACGTCGTCGCATTGCCCCGGGTTTACCGGTTTCCTCCCACTGCTAAAGACCCAGAGCACAGGCGTATTATTGAAAATTGAACCATATGTTAGTCCTGAAATGACCTAGTTTGATCCGGGTGAGTGGACGTTAAACCCAATCTCTCTCCCTCTTTCAACCACAGGAGGTTTATAATGTCAATTTATTGAACACACTCTACACACCCTGACTGCATGATACACTTCGGTTAAAACTATATTTGGATGACGAATGATTATGACAGAGTATGCGTGTTTCTTATTAGTGTTTGAATGAGTGAAGAAAATGGGGTTTAACGTCCTACTTTTATGGAACAACCGGGATGTTGCAGATAGTATCGCTGATTGGGGGTGGGCTGGGGATTTAGTCTATGCGCTCGTTCTGTCTCTCCTCCCCGTTTTTCTTTATTGTTGCACGAAACGTTGTAAGCCCATCAGTCGCTTCCCCAGATAATTTTTCTGTATCTTTTTCTGAGTGTGGGCGTATATATTGGCGTCGCCCCTGTACGTCCACAATTTGTTTGTGGACACTATACAGGTCACAATTTTTATTCAATTTTGACGAAGCTTGAAAAATAGATTTATCTCCCAAAGAGCTCGGTTACTTTCGAAATTCGCATGTATCGGACCGTAACTACATGGATTATGGCCTATGATTGTACAAAAAGTCACGTGTTTATCTTGTAGACACTCTAGATGTAACAATTGTTATCCGATATTTGTCAATATCCTACCGCAACTTCCTGGATTATAGCCCCTGATTGTATCACAAATCGCATTTTTTTTTAGCTCGTTATAATATGTCCATCTCTTGCAAAATGTAGGCGTATCTTGAGCAAATTTCAAGACCCATGCAGTAATTCTGCCCGCAACCTTCTACACTTTTAATGTTTTAGAATGTTGAACGTTTTAATTTTTCGGTTTCAATGTATACAAACTGGGCTTAGTCGCAATCTGCGGATGAGCCGCTTATCCGGAACCAACAGCAACCGTTTGACTGTGCGTCCGTATGTTTTGTGTTTACATGATTCTTTTACCTCGGATCCATGGTGATGTATTCAGAAAGACGTTGACTCGTTAACCTGGAGGTCCCGGGGTGGATCCAGAAGTTGACCGAGAAATTTCCTCGATATTTTCTGGCGTGTTTTACCCTTATCAGTGGTGCGAGACGCGGGGAGCAGGGCATGGAACGGGGTCTAGTTGTTCGGGTGGGACGAAAACCAGCGGTCCCATGTACACATTGAGGTGCACGTAAAAGAACCCTTTACAGTTGGAATTCAAAAGAAGAGTAGACCGTAGCGCCACTGTCCGTGTAACATTTACCTCCTAAACTCTGCATGGTGTGTGCAGGTCTTCATTAGCCCGGATGGGGCAGAAATATAGGACGTTAAACCTCATGTGAATAAATGAATGGCTAAATAATAGTTGATACAATCTGATTAAAACATAGATCTTATTTCGTTTCTCTTTTTATAATTCAAAATTTCGTTTTACTACACTGGTATCTTGAAGAGCTGTTATATAAGCCGCGTGCTGGATGATGAGATGGATTAGCCAATGAAACGGTCTGTTACGGCGAGTTTTTGGCGTGAGGTGCACGGAACTGTGGATAACCCACTAGAACTATCAACGCTGATTGATGAATCAAATTCTGGCGTCATAGGGTCAAAAGCCTCTAGTATGACCTCCGACGCGACCTTCCACTACAACTGGTCAAATATTCATGTAGGAGGGACTATCGAAAGTATAAAAATGAAACGAAATATAGATCTGTACTTAATCAGATTGTAGTTTATATAGCATTTGATGCTAGAAGAAAGAACTGCAGCTCTTACATAATGTATGGTTAAACTAGAATTACTGAACTGCTTTATTACAGTCTGCTAATGCCTCAGAAAAGGGGAAGTATGAAAAAGCCAGATTCTTCTCCAAAACAGCTCATTGGTTTAACGTGGCATCCATCGCAACAGCTTTAATCATTCTGATGATTGTTCTGATTATTAAAAACGTTAATAAGTAAAGCTACAGGTATTATGGCTATTAGAGTAACAATCATATTTTCAACTCCACGGCTTACACAAAGAAAAGGGTACACTTATTACAGTTAGATTTTTGTTCTCTGAAATTTTATATGATTTGTTTTGGGTTATTTTCTAATTTTATTTTACACATTTGTTTATGTGAGTTGTGTTTATGAGTTTTAGATGTACATGTCTTTTTTATTGTATTTTGTACATTGTCTGTATATCTCTCTTTTTTATTTCGATACAAGTTTTTATATCTATAGTGTAAAGCCGCCCGCGACACAGTATTGTAGAAATGGTGATATATAAATAAATAATTATTTTCATTAGAGAATAAAGTAAAGGCAATTGAGATTAAAAGAAGATTATTTCAGACCGAAATTCAAACCAAAATTAAATGCACTGAAATATTTTTATAATCGTATCATTTCACTTAATTTGATACTTATGTAATCGACGTTATATTTTATATATCCATGACAATGAAGAAGAAACATGTTGGTAATAAAATAAAAGATTTGGAACTCAATTGGTATTATTTACTTTTACATTATACCATAGAAATATATACTGACATATTTCTATGATTATACACAATACCACTATGGGTCGATTAAGTCCATTTTAGTTTTTTGTTTAAGCTTCGAAAACAGAGTCTTGTAACATTTTGTCAATATATTATTGCATTTTTCAATAAAATACAAAATGGAACTTTCAACAATTTTATTATACTTCTGGATGAAATTTATTTAGAATTTTGTCGAGTAATCCATTGTGGCTGAACTAGTTAAACACATTCCAAAAATAATTTTAACAGAGTTCTTTGTTACGGTTGATCCGTGTGTGTTAAAGATGCATTATGTAAGATTTGCAGATTTCTATCGAATAAATTTAAGCCTTATCGAAACTTGGCTCAGTGTATAATGTCCTTTGTATGAAAGTTTTTAGTAAGCTCCTGGACAAGCTGTGCTGTGGTTACTGATATAGTGCCGACTTATACCCAACTGGATAGGAATGCTGCTAATGTGATTTTTTTCAAGCAGATATTTTCAGATAAGGTTACTACGAGTAGATGCGCAACGAATGGGAAAATTGGTAAGCTTGATTAATTTTAGCCAAAACTTGTTGGTACGTTGCTTTGGTGACACTTTTTAAGATTTATTCAACTAAATTTGCTGAACCTGGTATAGAAGGGACAAAGTCACCTTCAATGGGCAATTTTTAGTTCCTCTTCTATAAGACTTGAGTGTATGGTGCTACTCTTTCATTTAAAAGGTTGGGGTAGGGGAATATTCTCGAAGGGCTCCAGAAGCTAAAAATGGGGAGAAATGAAATGAAATGAGGTTTACAGTTCTACTCTTCTGTCCCAGACAGCGGCGCTACCTCTTACTCTTATATCTAATCAAACTGCCAAAGGATCTTTAACGTGCACGCCAATATGTATACGCGACCTCGGTTTTTCGTCCCATCCGAACGACTAGACAGCTGTCCTTGTCAGGTCCTCCGTCCTGCGTCACTGACATGGTGAAACCAAGCCGGAAAATCCCAGTGAACGTTCTCGGCCAACACCGGGAGCAAACCTCCAGAAAGCGTCTTACTCACTTAGCCTCTGTGACTCCCCTAACGATGGAGATGCTGTTGATACACTATTGATGATAACACTTTTTGGACGACCTCTAAAGTGACTCCAACATTGATAGAGCATTTAAAGATTGCAAGATTATAGTCTATGGACTACCGTATTAAAACACTTACATTTGAATATTTTCCTCCTTATGCATTCTTAAACAATACCAACCCTTTTGCACAAATAGACTGACGAGCATGACGACGATGAATATAACATTTATATCGTGAAAATACAAATACATGTATATAAGAATTTACAGTCCGCTTATTATTGAGTTTGTACTCAGTATACCTCGCCACATATTAAAAGCAATTTCTACCTCGAGATCAACAACAAAATACATAGCATTGGCCCCTCTCTACAATACACCCTCATTAAAACGCTACTCAAACTAGGAGGACCCCACTACTCGCAACAAACCCACGCGAATTGCACAATGAACAACAAACGTATCAAATCAAGTGAATACCCGGGGACTCCAAATGAATAACAAACCCAGAATAAAATACTGAGCTAGCAGTATTCATTTTATAAACCGATTTTATTTTAATGCATTTTTAAATCCGTGTTAACTTCTTTTAAAACTTTGTTTTGTCTTGGAAACAAACTGCAAAGCCCAACAAGATGAATCATCCGAGTAGCAATCTAAAATCTATTTGACGGTTGTAAAGGGAGATAACTGCGTAAATATTTTAATTTTCTGTAAATTATCGAATATTCGTTGCAATTATTATACTGATATGCTGCTAATTTACGATATTAGGTTTGTATTTTATAATATTCTGTTGTATTAAATAGTATTTGATAAGTATTTGGTAGTATTGGGTTATTATTTGCTTGATTCGGGTGATATAGGGAGGCAAATGGAACAGCCAGACATCGGTAATCACATTTGAATTACATTTCCCACGATATATCTCACTACTTTTGAAAAAAATCAAGTAATAAGCTCATTTTGCACCATTATGTTGTAGTATTGGGTAATATGTGGTGATATTGGAGTGGTATTGGGTATTGGGTAAATCGCCCCGTCGTTATTTGAGAGGTGTTTTGAATATGAGAGGGTGAAGAGATACGTATTTAATGTTTTAAAACGGGATTGTGGTTTGGTATACATGTGGTGAAAACCATTATATACACTCGTCTTTGTATTGGGATTAAATGGTGTCCAATATTTTAACCCACATCAAACTTGACAAACACCTTGGCAAAATTTCCCTCATAGCACATTGTATGGCATATGCCCGTCTTCATTAGCTCAGTCGGAGCAGAACAGTAGTACTGTAAACCCCATTTCATTTCATTTCTCCCCATTTTTAGCTTCTGGAGTGATTCAAGAATACCCCCTACCCCAACCTCCCAAATGAAAGAGTAGCACCATACACTCAAGTCTTATAGAAGAGGAACTAAAAATTGCCCATTGAAGGTGACTTTGTCCCTTCTATACCAGGTTCAGCAAATTTAGTTGAACAAATCTTAAAAAGTGTCACCCAAACAACGTACCAACAAGTTTTGGCTAAAATTCAGCTTACCAATTTTCCCATTCGTTGCGCACCTACCCGTCAGATAACTTATCAGAAAGCAAAAGTTTAATAGATTATTGCAAATTCAAAATAAATCTAATACCGAAATCTTATTTATCGTCGAACATTCAATTAAAACACAGAAGAAATATTTTAAAATTTAGGCTAAATCTATTACCAACATATTTGAATTTGTATAGACAAAATCAAACTACTTTTCGATAATGTCCATTGTGCCAACAATGTAATGAAGATTTATTTTATTTTATGTTTGCATAGAAACGAAGAACATCAGAACGTGTACATTTGGTAAATATCAGTCATTATAACTTCCTAAATCTGCCAAATTCTAGCGAACTTTGTATATTATTATCATAAATGAAATGAAATGAAATGGGGTTTAACGTCCTACTGTTCTGCTCCTAAACTGTGCTAATGAAGACGGGCATACGCCATACAGTGTGCTATGAGGGAAATTGTGCCCGGGCAGCGGCACTACGGCCTACTCTTATATCGAATTCCAACTGCCAAGTGATCTTTTACGTGCAAACCAATGTGTACACGGGACCTCGGTTTTTGTCCCATCCGAACGACTAGACAGCTGTCCTTATCAGGCCCTCCGTCCTGCATCGCTGACAAGTGGAAACGACGCTGGAAAATCTGGATGAACGTTCTCGGCCAATGCAGGGATCGAACATCCGAGCTCCAGGCTAGCAAGCCATCGTCTTACCCACTTAGCCACGTGATCCCCGTATATTATTATCGATCTCTAATTATATAGAAAGGGTCACCACGTATCATATATATAAATTGCTGTAAATAACTATGCCCATACCATTTGATTGTTTGTAAATATAGTCTACTCATTTGCATTCAAATTTGGAAATTAGCGAGTACAACTACCTCGCCCACAGTGATAATAAAGGTTCTTTTAGGGTTTATAAATATCTATTATCACAGATCAAGTTTAATAAGCCATTCGCTTTCACCGGCCGTCTTCATTAGCCCAGTCGGAGCAGAACAGTAGGACGTTAAACCCCATTTCATTCATTTCGCTTTCACCGAAAGAAGGTGAACAAATAAAAGAAGACAACATAGTAAATTATAATTAATTTATTAAATCCAAGCCCTATATTAATAACATATAAAATACAATATTTATATTTTGAACATAAAGATCGGAATTCCAGTTATGAAAGTTGCGATCCCATAGGTTCCAATGTATTGGTTTTAAGAATAATTAAAAAATTGTTTTTTTGTAAACCTCAACCTAAACACGTAGGTTAGATAATAAATGGAGATGTAAATAAATTTATTTAGACACATAATCATATTTATAAGCAATACCATTACACCATGGACAAGGTATTGAATTAGATTGAAGGATGTTTTACACATTTCAATTTTGACTGTGCTATCAACCTCGGTGAAAGCGAGTGTTAAGCCTCGTAAACAAATGAAAACATTTCAATCTCCCAACGAGAGAAAAATACAAACAAAAGGCACATTAGTACAGTTATCCATTTAACGAAAAAAATTGTGAGTGCGAAATTTTGTGTGCGAAATTGTGAGTGTTGTTAACTTAATCTAGTAAAAAGATGAGTTAAATAATTATTAATTAAAAAAGCAACATAACAGAAGGCAAAGGGGAAATATGTTATTTGAACACCAGCCAATTAAAGGGGCCTGTTTCACGAAATTTGAACTTAGATAAAATCCAAAACTTAGTAATTTGATTGAAAAATATTAGACTGATTTTAGTGCTTAGCCAATCAAAGTTGAAGTATCTACTAAAATTTGGATTTTACTGAACTCGCACAGTTGTTATAGTTTTAAATCATTTTTTAAAAACTATGAATATCATCATTTTTTAAAAAATATGAATATCATCATTTTTTAAAAACTATGAATATCATCATTTTTAAAAAAAACTATGAATATCACTATGAATATCATCATTTTTTAAAGAAACCATGAATATCATCATAACTATGAATATCATCATTATAATAACCATGAATATCATCATAACTATGAATATCATCATTACAATAACCATGAATATCATCATAACTATGAATTTCATCATTATAATCCGGTTTCCTCCCACTGCTAAAGACCCCTACGCACAAGCGAATTATGTAAATAAAATTAAACTATGTGTTAGTCCCGAAATGACCTAGTTTGTGTCGAGTGGACGTTAAAACCAAAGACAATTATGAAATGCACAGCATCAACTATTTTATAGTTACAATCTTGTTAAAATCAAATGTTCACCAATTACCTTCAATTAATTATAATCATTGTAATAGTTAGTTTTATATAACTGGGTAATGAGAACGGCATATATTATACCGCCGATGATGCCGACAACTATGGCAGCGAAAGATAAGTATCTGGCAGTTTTTCCTTCTGATGTAGCACGAATAAAGTCACCATCTCGGGTAGCATCTGCGGACTGAAATATATTGATAAAAATTCGAAAAAAAAACTTCAAGGAATTATAAGTTTGGACTACCAATAGAAAAATATTAACAAAGGTCCCAAACGCCCATCAGTTAAAAAGTACGCTGAGCTGTACCTGTATTAAGAAAATAAATGTCTATACGGTTTAAACACGCGAGATACGAACGAAAAGGTGAGCACTGATTATGGATAGGGTTCCCACTGCTTCACACGTTCATAGCCCAACAAGTTGCCGCCTGATACCCACCTGTAAAGGGGAAGGGGGGTTGAACGGATAAAAATCCCTTCCACAGCAAATCTAAAGCTTATAACCCTTACCGCTACAGCGTTATGTTATTCTCTAAAGTATTATTTGGCACGGATCGTTTACTTTATAAACAACTTTCAGACAATAATTCTATTTTATACTGTCATCAGTTTGGCTCGGTTCTTTACCCTTGCATAGAACTAGATAAGAAACCTCATCTCTCAACCCTCCGTGTTTCGAGATAAGAGATGGTGCTATATAGTTTGAACTGACACCCCCCCCCCCCAATGCTAAATACATCGGGATTCAAATAAGCAAAAATGACAGTTTTTTCTTCAAAACAACGATTATTGTTATTTATAACATTTCTGCCACATCCAACTACAATTAAGCATAAAATCCTGCCTGACACGGGTACAAATCCCCTCTTTTTAATTCTAGGCGATAATAGATTGATTTGTCCAACATTTTAAATTTGACGTCTTTAACACATAAAGGCAGGGCCTTGTGTACAAAAGTCAATCAAAGTGCTAACCCGATCCGAGACGCGCAGGAGTACTTCACCGTAATTATTATGAATGTCCGTATCAACTTTGATAAAAACAACGCTTCGTTTACTTTATTGTCAATATTGCTGATAAATGAAAGCTGTTTCAGTAGATTGGGCTATGTATGTGTCATAAGTTCTTATAGTATAAAATTAACTTATCTTTTAAGTTACATGCATTAATAAAGAAATTAAGTTTGCCAGGTGAAACTAAAGGCACTCTATCGTAGCTAAAACCAAGCACTTATATCTCAACGTTTTTAGTTACGTTCTCGTAGATAGCATAGAACATGATGTCATATTAAACTGTGCCGGATAATGGCTAAACGTATTCTCTCAATCCCCCACAAATTCATCATTCAAAACATAACTTACCCTCATGGAGAATATGATGGCAGCTATTCCCAATGGGAAGAAACAACACAAACACGTAAATATTGACAGACCCATATAATCACGTGGAGCTGATGTCACTATAATAGCAGATGTGGCGGGTTGATTGGAGACCTAAAACAGCAGAATATACATTCATTTTTGTTTTCAAATATTTGAAATGAACCATTGTTTGTGTTACGAATCGTTTGTTCATAGCCTTGCATGCCATGATGGTGAGTTAATAGAATTTTTATCGCCTCAGTCGCATCGATACCACTTAAAGTTGACCAATTATTGAATTTTTACAATTATGCAATACAAATTATAACTTTAGATCGAGCTACTTTCAAGCAATTCATCGACTTGGAGGGGTTCGATTTGAGCAATTGGTGTCAATATGAGTGGAGGCTATGGCGCTGCCTTGGGACAAGAAATTACTACACTTTATACTGGTCTAAAGGAATTTCTTGATACGACGTGTAAAGTAATGCGCAAATACATTTTGATTGGTGGACTCCAGATTGACCTACCAATCAATAGTGACCTACCGAATACACGTAACTAAAATAACATTCATTACGCTGAGCGGTTATTTATAATTCTACTTACCACAACATTCACATTGTTTGTACTCGTAGGAGCTTGTTGCCCGGGGCCATACTGGCCATACTGAGGCTGCTGGTTATACTGAGGGTGCTGGCCATAATGACCAGGGCCATAAGGAACTTGACCACCAGGGCCATACGGTGGTTGGTAGGCTGTATTTGGGGAATATGGTGGAGGTGGTGCGTTCATCGCTGGCTGATCATAACCATAGTTAGGACTGGACTGGGGGGCTGGGACGTTGTTGGCACTGCCTCCGGTAAAACCTTGAAGTTGTGTCGGTTGATCAATTGGTCGTTTATCGCCAGCTTGATCGTAACCATAATCCCCAGCATACTGGTTGGGTAGATTATTTTCTGGAAAAAAGTAAGAATGTTAAATATTAGACCCACATATAATTCGCAAATCTGGAACAAGGCACTTATTGTGACATGAAATGTCCCTGCAATCCCTCTCTTGTCGGACACAGAGATCTATCTTTTTCATTTTGTTTTATTGATATTTATACTGCTCGTCAGGCACAAGGTCAATTATCTGCGATATCACCTCGGCGGAAGTGGACGTAAAATACAAGTAACTCACACATACACACAAGGTCAAAACGTCAGGTACACAGTAGGACATCCGACTTGTAAATAACACTGAAGAATCGCAAGGAAGTTTATCGACCAACACCGGGATCGAATCCAGGACCTTCTGTTAGTAAGTCAGTACCTTAATAGCCGTGCCCCCCCCCCCAACAAAAAAAACCCCCACAAAATACTTGTAATAACAAAAGTCGTAAATAACGAGTGTCGGACCAATGGGCATTGATTTTCACAAATAACCAATGATATAGCAACACTAATACCCCTGTCGTGTATTGCTTTTATAAATTGTATTGTAGAAAGAGAGAGAGAGAGAGAGGGGGAGAAATGGGGTTTAACGTCCACTCGACAAACTAGGTCATTTCGGGACTAACATATGGTTCAATTTTATTTCCATAATTCGCTTGCGTGTGGGGATCTTTAGCAGTGGGAGGAAACCGGAGGACCCGGAGAAAACCCATGAGGTTGGACAGGCAAACCTACTCCTTGTCAACCGGGGATTCGAAACCACGCCAGTTGACTCAATGACAGACTTTATGATACAGCGCGCACGTGCTAACCATTCAGCCATCCAACACCCCTTGTTAAAAGAGAAAATCATTTAAAAGATTCAGCGATAACGTAAATGGGAGGTAACTCGAAACAAAAGCTCGCAGCAAGGGGATTAACCAATTTTCCGCTTTTGAAAATTGGCATCATTAGTGTAAATGGGTATAAAGAATAGTCCGAGAAAGCTTTCGCAATACCTCTGTGAAAATATTCTAAATTGGTCCTGGCAGAATGGTGATTTTTACTCAACATATTTTTTTTTAGCTTTATAATTTAAAAAAAATATTTTAGAATTAATTGCTAAAGAGCCAATTAACTCGCACCGATTTTTACCTTTCAGTGATTGTAGCGACCAAGCGAATATTCACTGCTGATGCGTTTGGCTATGAATTCTTAAAATTTGATCCATTGCAAATAAAGAGCGTGGGGGTCGATTAGTTCTACCAGTCTGTTAACTAACTTCTCGAGTCATTATATTTTCTGTTCACGATTTTGTGGTCAGTCTCAAAGATGACATTAAACCTCGATGCATGGCCCAATTTGGCCTTCATCATGTGTAAACGCCGTTTCATTTATTATCCATTAGGTCTATACATTTTATTTGAGAAAGGTCATTGTTAGATCTATACATTTTATTTGAGAAAGGTCATTTGTGCACATTAAGAATGATACATTCTTTTTGAGTATGGTCATTTGTACACCATGATTGTTTGCCTTGTCCACACCCGTTTCGATCAGTAGGATTTCACACATAAGATTGTTTTCTAACTGAATATACTTTTTAAATATCAATCGAATATAAATATGTATTGTGTTGGGGTTTTCTGTGGGATATACTTTAACGTTATCTATGTACATTTTATTTACAATACATACTATTTATATCTCTATATATTTTTGGCTATAGCAATCTCTGCTTCGCCTGTAATAAAGTTCTATACGATCGAGTGTTGATATTTTACATTGTGCAGTAGTTAGACCTCGAATCTTTTAAACATATTTCCATTAAAAAAAACATAAAGGCCTACATTCAAATTACAGAATAAATTTATAAGAACTATTTATTTTATTTAAAACCTTTTAGTCTGTATGACTTTACCCAAATCAACATGGCCGCCTTGTTTATTAAAAAACAGCTATGAGTCTATTTTAGTCATCTAGTTAGTCTATTACACTCTTTGTTTAAAAAGCCAATAATTAATAACTTTAACAGATAAACTCTTATCATAAATAGAATAATAATAGTACATCTTACCGGCCATGGTTAATTTATAGGAGAATTCGAGGAACACAGACTATTTCAGCTTATTGTGATCTCGTAACCTTGTCAAACAGGATGTAAAAAAACGAGAATCCCATATGACAAAATATTGCTCAATAATATTTAACGACATTTAAGTACAGATCCCACGAGCTGGAATTTTTCGCTCGAATTCAATAGAATGATTCTACCAGTAAACAATTGCTGTAAAACGCCACACACACACACACACACACACAAATAGAAGATCCGAATGACTTTCCGCAACATTCGTCTTCAAATGAAACCGCTTCTAATTATTATAACGTACATTTTATTTCCTGGTAAATCGTCAACTGTGTCGTATATTATTATATACCATCCACATTTCAGTTAAACCCATTCTTTAGTGATTTGAATGGCTCGGTTTTAATGCTTCTTCATAATTCAGAGTTTAAATAGTTGGCTTCTGCTATTCACCCCTAAGCCATTTGCCTTCTATATTTGATGTTCATGTTTTAACAACTACAAATATCTTTCAGTCACGACTTAGTGTAGTGTGTATAACCCCCAATGAAAACCGTTCATGCGTATAAGTGCAGTATTATTTATGTACCAGGACGTACTTCAAAACGTATACCCATTTTATTCAAACCAGTTGTAGTGTAATATAATTGCATACCCGAAAGCCTTATACAATTAAATAAATATTATGCTTTATATATACTTTAAATATAGACGAGATATGAATTAGACATTTATTTACATGCCAAGCCCATAATCTTGACCATAGGATGGTTGTACGTACAAACAGCCATAACTTCGCTCAGTACACAATTTAAAGTGGAATAATTGAAAACATATTGTATCTATATCATTCACATGTGGTACAATACTGATGGTTGATGACTTACTGCAAATTAATTGAAGAAAAAATTTAACGTGTATGGAGGACATCGACGGCGAATTAATTGAAACAATTTAATTGAATCAATTAATTGACGGATCAAAGTTCCTTTGATATTTATTAACGGCTCGTCAATTAAATATACCGTGTGTACTAGTGCCAGAGATGCTTTTATCTCTAAGTTTTCGATCAGATTGAAAATTGACGCTAATTACATTGATCGTGTGTGGGCAAGGTCAATTTCATCAATTAATTGATATTGAACGTGTATGGGCCGCTTAACATTGTACATGTTTTTAAAAAAGACGGTCAACTTGTTTTACCGAATTGAGAAATCACATCCCATTCACCTGAGTTAATATGAACAAATTTGCAATATGTCCCGTCTTGTGCGTAGACGCGTACACGCATTTTTCATTCAGAATCGAATTTCGTATTCTTCTAAACTTATTTCTTCCCATCTTGCCCAATTTGCATCGTTCAGTTTATTTTTCATTAATTGTATCACGCGTCCTTTATAATCATATTCCGAGAGACCGTTACATATTGCTTTTACTGACACAAGAAAGAAAATGTTCAAGAAATATAGCCTTCGCAATACAGGATAGGAGCTTAACTTTCAACCAAGAAGCATTGTTTAAAATGGGTGACAACCGATTCTTATGGATTGAAAATAAATTTATTCTAAAGTTTGTTGCCTAAATTACGACCGGGGGGGGGGGGGCAAATCTGATTCAGTGATCATATTGGCTGTCAAAATAATAGTCAGTAATAATTCAGTTTCCGTCAAACGTATGCGCATTTAAACTACTGGGTCAGCCTCAATTCGTCTACTTTAAACTAAGCAAAGGACCTCGGATTTTACGTACCATCCGCACGACGAGACAGCTAATCTTGTCAAACCCTCCGTCTTGCACCATGAAGAAGGCCATACCCTGAAGACGAATGTTGCAGAAAGTCATTCGGACCTTTTATTTTTTTTATTTTCTTTTTGTTTTGTGTGTGGCGTTTTACAGCAATTAGAATCATTCTATTGAATTCGAGCGAAAAATTCCAGCTCGTGGGATCTGTACTTAAATGTCGTTAAATATTATTGAGCAATGCTTTTTGACATACGGGATTCTAGTTTTTACATCCTGTTTGACAAGGTTACGAGATCATAATAAGCTGAAATAGCCTGTGTTCATCGAATTCTCCTATAAATTAACCATGGCCGGTAAGATGTACTATTATTATACTATTACTGATAAAAGTTTATCTAGTTAAAGTTATTAATTATAAGTTGTTTAAACAAAGAGTGTAATAGACTAACTAGATGACTAAAATAGACTCATAGCTGTTTTTTTAATAAACAAGGCGGCCATGTTGATTTGGGTAAAGTCATACAGACTTAAACTTTTTAAATAAAATAAATAGTTCTTCTAAATTTATTCTGTTATTTGAATGTAGGCCTTTATGTTTTTTTTAATGGAAATATGTTTAAAAGATTCGAGGTCTAACTACTGCACGATGTAAAATATCAACATTCGATCGTATAGAACTTTATTACAGGCGAAGCAGAGTTTGCTATAGCCACAAATATATAGAGATATAAATAGTATGTATTGTAAATAAAATGTACACAGATAACGTTAAAGTATATCCCACAGAAAACCCCAACACAATACATATTTATATTCGATTGATATTTAAAAAGTATATTCAGTTAGAAACCACAAGCTTCTTATATGTGAAATCCTACTGATCGAAACGGGTGTGGACAAAGCAAACAATCATGGTGTACAAATGACAGTACTCAAAACGAATATATCATTCTCATGATGTACAAATAATCTCACGATGACCTTTCTCGAATAAAATTAATAGACCTCAAGGACAATAAATGAAGCGGCGTTTACACATGATGAAGGCCAAATTGGGTCATGCATCGTCATCTTTGAAACTGACCGCAAAATATAATGACTCTAGAGGTAATTAACAGACCGGTGAAACCCGCTAATCGACCCCGACGCCCTTTATTTGCAATGGATCAAATTTCTGCGAGTCAATTGGTTCTTTAGCAAATTAATTCTAAAATATTTTTTTAAATAATTAAGATAAAAAAAAAATATGTTGGAAATATTTCTGCAAGGCGTAAAATGACTAAAAATCACCATTCTGCCAGGACCAATTCCGAATATTTTCACAGAGGTAATGCGAAAGCCTTCTCAGACTATTCTTTATACACATTTACTCTAATGATGCCAATTTGAAAAAAGCGGAAAATTAGTTAATACCGTTGCTGTAGGCTTTTGTTTCGAGTTACCTCCCATTTACGTTATCGCTGAATCTTTTAAATGTTTTTCTGTTTCTACAATACAATTTATGAAAGCAATACACGACAGAAGTATCAGTGTTGCTATATTATTGGTTATTTGTGAAAATCAATGCCCATTGGTCCGACACTCGTTGTTTACGACTTTAGATTATTACAAGTTTTTTGTGGGGGGGGGGGGGGCACGGCTATTGAGGCACTGACTTACTTCGAGAAGGTCCTTGATTCGATCCGGGTGTTGATCGATAAACTTCCTTGCGATTCTTCAGTGTTATTTACAAGTCGGATGTCCTACTGTGTACCTTGTGTGTGTGTGTATGTGTGAGTTAGTTGTATTTTACGTCCGCTTCCACCGAGGTGATATCGCAGATAATTGACCTTGTGCCTGACGAGCAGTATAAATATCAATAAAACAAAATGAAAAAGATAGATCTCTGTGTCCGACACCAGAGGGGTTGCCGGGACATTTCATGTGACAATAAGTGCCTTGTTCCAGATTTGCGAATCATCTGTGGGTCTTATATTCAACATTCTTACTTTTTTCCAGAAAATAATCTACCCAATCAGTATGCTGGGGATTATGGTTACGATCAAGCTGGCGATAAACGACCAATTGATCACCTGACACAAGTCCAAGGTGTTACCGGAGTCAGTACCAACACCGTCCCAGCACCCCAGTCCAGTCCTAACTATGGTTATGATCAGCCAGGGATGAACGCACCACCACCACCATATTCCCCAAATAAAGCCTACCAACCACCGTATGGCCCTGGTCAGTATGGCCAGTATGGCCCCGGGCAACAAGCTCCTACGAGTATTAACAATGTGAATGTTGTGGTAAGAAGAATTATACATAACCGCTCAGCGTAATGAATGTTATTTTAGTTACGTGTATTCGGTAGGTCACTATTGATTGGTAGGTCAATCTGGAGTCCACCAATCAAAATGTATTTGCGCATTACTTTACACGTCGTATCAAGAAATTCCTTTAGACCAGGATAGAGTGTAGTAATTTCATGTCCAAAGGCGGCGCAATAGTCTCCACTCATAGTGACACCAATTGCTCAAATATAAGCCCTCCAAGTCGATGAGTCGCTTGAAAGTAGCTCGATCTAAAGTTATAATTTGTATTATACAATTGTTAAAATTCAATAATTAGTCAACCCGTAACTGGTATCGATGCGACTGAGGCGATACAAATTCTATTAACTCACCATCAATCATGGCATGCAAGGCTATGAACAAACGATTTGATGCGATAGTCCGACTTGGGGAGGGGGTGGGGGTATAACAAAGACTTCGATGGACAATCACATTTATTCAACTAATTACAATTCATGATATATTCAAAAGCATGAAGCACACAAAACAACCAATCTGAATATAGCGTATTCCAATTTCACCAATTTGTAACAGAAACACAGTTCGTTTCAAAATACGACTACGAAGTACGATTCGAATAAAATGGAAGTAGGTAGATATTTTAATTTGTGAAGTAAACAAATTTAAACTTTGTCGATTTGATGGTATTGCAGTGTTTATATTACTCGTATTATTTACACATAAGAATTCACCACTCTTCGTTTTTATTTAAATTAGTGTAAGTGTATTATGGGCTTAGTTGGTAAATAGAATTAGCGGGAAGACCTTAAATCAACGATCTGGATTCAAACCGTAAATACCAAGTTACAGAGTAGAGTAACGGTACATAAACTTTGCCAGGGAAAGGCGGCAAATAATGGTACATTGATGTCATTGTAGGTCAGAAAACTGTTCCATGGGGGTAATGCGAAAGTCTTCTTTTACCACTGTGTGAATGACCTTTAGGAACTTAATTTGCAGAAGAAAAAGGGTTAATATCGAGATCTAATTAACTTGCTCCGATGTCATCCCTCTCGGTGACCTTAGCGAATATTTACTGCGGATCAGTTTGGTAGATCAGGTGTCCCCATAAAAGAATAAAATGTAAATGTCAATACAATTTTAAAATTTAAACAACACTTTGACGAAGATTATAACCGTGGCCTGCTAGATTGTTTTATTTTATTAAGCATGTAGCATAAGAAGCCGTTAGATCAAAATAAGTCTTCTTCACATTACTTGTATAATGAACTGTATGTAGCTGTAGAAAACTATGTCACGTCATGCGCGTTGTGACAAATTTAGAGTGGAATATTTGAACACAAAAATGAATGTATATTCTGATGTTTTAGGTCTCAAATCAACCCGCCACATCTGCTATTATAGTGACATCAGCTCCACGTGATTATATGGGTCTGTCAGTATTTACGTGCTTGTGTTGTTTCTGCCCACTGGGACTAGCTGCAATGATATACTCCTTTAGGGTAAGTTATCTTTTGTCCGATGACTTTGTGGGGGATTGAGGGAAGTCGTTTGACCATTATCCGGTGCAGTTTCACATGACGCAATGTTCTAGCTAGCTACAAGAACGTAGCTAAAAACGTTGAGATATACAGATGTGCTTGTTTTTTTTAGCTACGATTGGGTGCCTTTAGTGTATGTACACCATTAGAACTTATTACACTTACGCATCCCAATCTACTGAAACAAGTTTCATTTATCAGCAATATTGACAAAGTAAATCAAGCGGTTTTTTTATCAAAATTGATACAGACATAGTTACGGGGTAGTACTCATGCGCAACCCGGAACAGGTTGGTACTTTGATTGGCTATTGTACACGAGGCCCTGCCTTTATGTGTTAAAGATGTCAAATTTAAAATGTCGGACAAAGCAATCTATTATCGCTTCAATTTAAAAAGAGGAGATTTGTACCCATGGCAGGTAGAGTGTTATGCTTAATTGTAGTTGGATGTGGCAGAAATGTTATAAATAACAATAATCAATCGTTGTTTTGAAGAAAAAAATTGTCAATTTTGCTTATTTGAATCCCGATGTGATTAGTGTTGGGGGGTTGCCAGTGTTGGGGGGTTGCCAGGGGGTTGCCAGTGTTGGGGGGTTGCCAGTGTTGGGGGGGTTGCCAGTGTTGGGGGGTGGCCAGTGTTGGGGGGGGTTGCCAGTGTTGGGGGGTTGCCAGTGTTGGGGGGTTGCTATTGTTGGGGGGGGGGTTGCCAGTGTTGGGGGGTTGCCAGTGTTGGGGGGTTGCCAGTGTTGGGGGGGTTGCCAGTGTTGGGGGGTTGCCAGTGTTGGGGGGTTGCTATTGTTGGGGGGTTGCCATTGTTGGGGGGTTGCCAGTGTTGGGGGGTTGCTATTGTTGGGGGGTTGCCAGTGTTGGGGGGTTGCCAGTGTTGGGGGGGGGGGGGGTTGCCAATGTTGGGGGGGGGGGGGGGGTTGCCAATGTTGGGGGGGGGGGGGGTTGCCAGTGTTGGGGAGTTGCTATTGTTGGGGGGTTGCCATTGTTGGGGGGTTGCCAGTGTTGGGGGGTTGCCAGTGTGGGGGGTTGCTATTGTTGGGGGGTTGCCAGTGATGGGGGGTTGCCAGTGTTGGGGGGTTGCTATTGTTGGGGGGGTTGCCAGTGTTGGGGGGTTGCCAGTGTTGGGGGGGTTGCCAGTGTTGGGGGGTTGCTATTGTTGGGGGGTTGCCAGTGTTGGGGGGTTGCCAGTGTTGGGGGGGTTGCCAGTGTTGGGGGGTTGCCAGTGTTGGGGGAGTTGCCAATGTTGGGGGGCAGTGTTGGGGGGGGGGGTGCCAGTGTTGGGGGGTTGCCATTGTTGGGGGGTTGCCAGTGTTGGGGGGTTGCCAGTGTGGGGGGTTGCTATTGTTGGGGGGCTGCCAGTGTTGGGGGGTTGCCAGTGTTGGGGGGTTGCTATTGTTGGGGGGTTGCCAGTGTTGGGGGGGGGGGGGTGCCAGTGTTGGGGGGTTGCTATTGTTGGGGGGTTGCCAGTGTTGGGGGGGTTGCCAGTGTTGGGGGGGTTGCCAGTGTTGGGGGGTTGCCAGTGTTGGGGGGTTGCTATTGTTGGGGGGTTGCCATTGTTGGGGGGTTGCCAGTGTTGGGGGGTTGCCAGTGTTGGGGGGGGGGGGGCAGTGTTGGGGGGTTGCAAGTGTTGGGGGGTTGTCAGTGTTGGGGGGTTGCTAGTGTTGGGGGGTTGCCAGTGTTGGGGGGCCAGTTGAAGCTATAAAGCACCATCTGTTATCTCGAAACACGGAGGGCTGCGAGATGAGGTTTCTTATCTCTATGCATACGCAAAGAACCGAGACAAACTGATGACACTATACAGCAATCATGGCAAAGCATAAATGCATATACCAAGGTCGTGGTCATCTGGAGGTTACAATTGTTGTCTGAATTAGATGTATTAAAGATCAACAGATCTTGGATGAGATCGGTGCGTATCAGACGGCAACTTCTTGAGTTATGACCCAGCCATTTACGCAAAATTTGTGAAGGCGAAGCATTGGGGTCATAAAAGGACGAACCCTATCCATAATACGTGTTCCTCGAACTTTCGTTCCTTATGGTCCTTAGCCGAAATCTTGTGTACGCGATAGGGGCCGCAGATAATCTCCATCCATCCGTTACAAAAGTTGTGCGTATGTTGCGTGTTTAACGCGTGTAGACATTCATTTTCTTATTCCAGGTACAGCGCCTCAGCGTACTTTTTAACCGATCTATTTGTAGTCCAAACTTAGAATTCTTTAAAATCTGAGGGGGTTTTTCGAATGATATTTTTATCAATATGTTTCAGTCCGCAACTGCTACCCGAGATGGTGACTTTATTCGTGCAAGATCAGAAGCAGCAACAGCAAGAAACTTATCTTTCGCTGCCATAGTTGTTGGAATCATCGGCGGTATAATATATGCCGTTCTCATCACGAAGTTTCATGACAATTATAAAACTAACTATTATTACAATGATTATAATAATGGAGAGTAATTGACATTTGATTTTAATAAGATTGTAATTATAACTTAGTTGATGCTGTACATTTCATAATAATTGTCTTTGATTTTAATTATAGCTATTATAATGATGATATTCATGATTGCTTTTGAATTTAATTATAGTTATTATAACGATGATATTCATAGTTATTTTAATGATAATGTTCAGTAGTTTTATTTATGTTAACTAGACAGCCCATGCCTAATAACTATATCCATTTTAAGATGTTAGTATAGAATTCAGTCCCTCTTTGATTCGCCATATTAAGTATCACTGGCTTTAAATCTTTGTGTATGAGTCCTGATTTTATATCACCACATAAAGTCTGTAGTCCAGACTTTATCCAGTTAACATATTTCCCCATTGCCTTCATAATTAATAATTAATTAACTCACCTTTTCACAACGTAATTAGAACAGATTTAACAGATTTCACAATTTCGTACTCACTCACAATTTCGCACTAACATTTTTTTCTTTAAATGGATAAGTGTACTAATGTGCTTTTTGTTTGTATTTTTCTCTTGTTGGGAGATTAAAATGATTTCGTTTGTTTGCGAGACTCAACACCGCTTCCACCGAGGCTGATAGCACAGTTAAAATTATAATGTGTAAAACATTCTTTAATCTAGCTTAATTTACAATACCTTGTCCATGGTGTAATGGTATTGCTTATAAATATGAATGATATGTTTAAACAGATCTACAGGATAGAGGTCCATTTGTTATATAACCCACGTTTTTTTGGTTGGGCTTTATAAATAAACAATTTCTTAATTATTGTTAAAACCAATACATTGAAACCTATTGGATTGTAACTGTTGTTATTACACAGCAAATTCAGTTGTAGAGACATTTATAACTGGAATTATTTTATTTTATATGTTATTAATATACATGTTTCCAGAGCTTGGCTTTTAATAAAATAATTATAATTAATTATAATTTACTATGCTTTTTTGTTTTAGTTGTTCACCGTCTTTCGGTGAAAGCGCCCTTCAGTGATGCAGGACGGAGGGGCTGTCTGGTCGTTCGGATGGGACGAAAAACCGAGGTCCCGTGTACACATTGGCGTGCACGTAAAAGATCCCTTGGCAGTTGGAATTCGATATAAGAGTAGGCCGTAGTGCCGCTGTCTGGGCAAAATTTCCCTCATAGCACACTGTATGGCGTATGCCCGTCTTCATTAGACCAGGTTAGGAGCAGAACAGTAGGACGTTAAACTCCATTTCATTTCATTTCGGTGAAAGCGAAATGAAACGTAATGGAGTTTAACGTCCTACTGTTCTGCCCCGAATGGGCTAATAAAGACGGCCGGTGAAAGCGAATGGCTTATTAAACTTGATCTGTGAAAATAGATATTTATAAACCCTAAAAGAACCTTTATTATCACTGTGGGCGAGGTAGTTGTACTCGCTAATTTCCAAGCACCTAATCCTGTTTCCATTGTAGGATGTCCGCGAAGCTGTTTTTTGTACTCTTCGGATTCTTGCGGTGTAAGTAGGGACAGGGTATGTTTACTCTTTTAATAAACGCATACCATCTGTTAATATATAATGCGTATATGGCGGTCAAATGGGTCAATTTTATGGAAAACTATAACTGTATATCTAAAAAACAGACGCCAAATGTCTCAAGATGTATGTCAGCTCAGTTTGACTACTAGTCATCTATACATATTTAATTATTAGTGTCACAATCTTATCCATTGAAACGCAATAACGGTACTGGTTAAAACAAGTAGCATGAAAAACATTCATGAACTAAACTTAAAGGAGCTAAATCGCTAATATTTGGGACCTAGAAATTGACAAAAATGGGTCGCAACGTATATAATAATGTAATATGAATGTAAATAAACTGATTTACATTCAGTCGTTTCCGTTTTTACTCTAATTTCAAAGCAGTTATGTTCGGCGAAATACGCCAGAAGTCTCAATCGAATGGCAATCTCTAGCGCCTGGTTATTCCAGTCTACACTGATAGTATTTATTGCACATGCTTTCCAGATAAGAATATGGGGTCACCGTTTGACATGACTTGTGGAATATGTCTAACCTCGTTCTTCCGAGTCGCTTGTTACAAATTGCGCTGAAATGCATCATGGTACACGATTCGTGTACCAATCGTAAAATGTTTATTTTGTCATAAATATTGAATATCAGAATCCCAGATTTCCCCGGTAAGATCACAACACCAATGTTGATTAAAATTGACAAATAATTCGTGTTTTCATTGTCGAAGGTTTTGGATGATACTGAGTTAGAGACTTAGCTACTTTAACCTGAATACAATAGAATAGAATAACTACAATTATATTTTAAAATGTGCGATTCTTTACAAAATTATTGTCAACAGTTGGAGATTTATCTACAATTCTGATATATTTAACATATAATACTATAATTAAGTCTGATGATAAATTTATAAAACGTGTCTTTATTTTACTAAATTTCAAAATATCTGTATAAATAAGTATACTTCTTAATGCAAATGAGTAGGCTATATTTACAAACAATCAAATGGCACGGGCATAATTATTTACAGAAATTTATATATGATACTTGGTGACCCTTTCTATATAATTAGAGATCGATAATAATATACAAGGTTCGCTAGAATTTGACAGATTTAGGAAGTTATAATGACTGATATTTACCAAATGTACACGTTCAAAACAAACATCTCTGATGTTCCTCGTTTCTATGCATTCAAACATAAAATGAAATAAATCTTCATTACATTGATGGAATAATGGACATAATTGAAAAGTAGTTTGATTTCGTCTATGCAAATTTAGATATGTTGGTAACAGATTAGGCCTAAATTTTGTAATATTTCTTCAGTGTTTTAATTGAATGTTCGACGATAAATAAGATTTCGGAGTTAGATTTATTTTGAATTTGTAATAATCTATTATATTAAACTTTCGTTTTCTGATAATTTAGCTGACCATTCTTGTACATTTATATCTGATAATCGTAATTTAATTTGAATTATAAACATGTTAAACTTGCGATCATTTCATCTTCAAAAACAACCAAATCCTAAGGAATATAACATAAATATGACCTTTGTCACCAACTAACCCTCTAGGCTTTGTCTAATTGTTTTAACATAATAAATATTTGTTAGGTATATCGATCTATGGACATATGAATATTTAATACAACACAAAGTATAATGTATGCTTAAACTGTGTCCTCCAGCATTTGAGGAACTCTTATAAATTCCTAAAATTGCCTTTCAAAAGTTGGTATGCACGATTTCAATTTCGTGCCGATATTGAAACGCCAAAACTCAGCTCCATGGACATGTTGATATCGAAATATTCCGTCTTTCTAATTAAACTTCACGCTTTAATTGATAAGTTAGTAATATTTTTATTCCAGTTCAATCTGGTGGAGAATATTATATTAGGCCCAGATAATTATGGTAAGTTACAGTTTCTATTTGTTGACTATTCAAGAACCATTTATTTTGCTTGTTTTTACACCACCGTTTTTTAAAACAAGTATTTTGGTTTTATCAGGATTTACTTTAAGATTAAACTTTGAACAAAATTTCTGTAGCAAATAAATTTTATATTGTACATCCCCGAATGAATCAGAGAACAATGACACGTCGTCAGCATATAATAACGAAGCAATTTCTGGTTCTTCTGGAATGGTAAATATACCCCTGCAGTTTGAAGAATTTACCGTTTCAACAAGACTAACAATGGGCTTAAAACACATCCCTGCCTTAAACAGGAATCACAATTAAACGATCGTGTTACATAAGAATCGAATTTTGCATAGGAGGTAACAGATTTATACATAGAAGTTAATGAAGCACACATTTTTCTATAGAGAACTTTATTTATTAATACAGATAGCCGTTTAATTCTGCTTCAACCTAGGGTGACCCATGTACTCACAGAAATACAGTCCACCGCTGATAGTTCGAGACTACCACTGAAGCGTGCACATTCGCTGTGCCGAGACCAACGTTCTGACAGTATGATACTATAAATAGCCATGGCACGTGCAATTCCTTACAAATCTATCAACTATTACAGCCGTAGAAATTTATTGTTGACGATTTTGAATAGCAGTAAAATTAAGCTTCTTGATTATTACAGCAGATTTAGAAATTACGTTCGTTTCATTTTTTAAATCGCTTTATCATTAACTGTACCGTTAAGAGCGGCATCTTTTGGTTTAGTACAAATAATATCTCTGAATCACTCGGGTTAGACAGGAACATGATACTAGCAGTAGTTTCATTTTACTTTTACAAGCTTCTTAAAACGATTGTTGAGCTACCTAACGTGCTTATTTCTAAATTCAATTTCTTGTTCTAGCTTTCTGTTATGTTTCGTAAAAAAGTAGTCTTGATTATCCCGACCTGTCAATCAGACGTAGAATGGTTGATAGACTGGTTAAGCGAGACTAATTTCAAAACAAGGGCACGTAACCTATCTTTTACTCAAAAGTGTCTGGATGTTATGGACGACTCTTGGAACCAGTTTTCAGTCTATTATTTATACGTGATTAATGGTCATAGCTTATTAAGTACATGATCGTTTATTAAGTGACTATAATTGTGTGAAACTGATTTGAGGCTTGGCATATATATAAATATTGTGGCGTAATTGTCGAGATATATGGAGATATTTATTTATGGTGGGTCACCCTATGTCAACAATGATATGCCTTACTGAAATCAACGTATAATACAGATAGCCTCCTTTTGGATTTGGATAGATATTTTTGTACCACACCTTGAAGAGTAAACGCATGATCAATTGTAGACCGACCCTTGCGATGTCAATCCTGGGCTTCATAAAATTTTACCTTGAGTTTAGTACTGAAGCATATAGTTTAGAAATGCTGTTTAACAACGATATTCCTCTGTAATTATTCGGTTCGGACTTCGAATTTTTTTTGTGCAAAGGAGTGATCAGTGCTTTGGACCATGAAGTCGGAAAATACCCAGAGTCAAAGATATTATTAAATAACAAAGTAAGAATGGGTATGGACTCTTCGGAGCAGACTTTTATGAAATCGATAACCAACCCATCACGACCGGGGGGGGGGGGGAGATGCCTGGTTTTGGCCCCATGAAGACATTTACTAACTTCATGTTCCGAAATTACAGAATTTAATAATAAGTCGCTTACACATGTTTGATCATTACCTATGTATATTCTTAAATGATTCCACGACATGGGAAGCTCATCAACTACATCGACTAATTGGTTAAGTAGATTTTCGAAATAGTTAGCCAATTGTCAGGGCAAATACCACGATTAATGACCTTGGTTTCCAACTTTTAAGTGTTTTCCAAAATTTATTTGGATAAGATAAAGGCGACCATTTTGATCTTTTTTTCAAATTAAGCTTTCTTACTTTTACAAAGATATTTGAATTCATATTTATGGGACCGGTTGCTCAAAACTAAATCATTTTAACGATCCGTTAAACTCTAACGGATCGTTTATCTTCGTAACGTGTCGTTTGTTAACGGTCCGTTAAAGTTCTGTTGTTGGAAAGTCAATTTGATTATCCGTTAGCTAACGAAACGGATCAAAGTTAATCCAAGAGAAAACAGTTTGAACTTTTTTAAATTTAGTGTACATGTATAACAACTTCATAGAAGTTAGTATTAACAAGAAAATGAAGACAGTCTGTGCAGTCTAGTCACAAAACTTGATTAAAGACAAAAGGATAACTGTAGAACTATGAAAAAAAACCCTACAGAATACTTTTTTTCCGTTTAGAAATTTCAGCATAAATCTGTAGGAAAAAATATGGGATTTTCACTACAGAAACTGTAGAATATTTGGGGACATTTTTTCCTACCGGCCCCTAAAATTCTGTAGAATATACTACAGAATTTCATCCTATAAAAGATGGAAAAGAACCCCCCCCCCCACACACACACACACACACAGA